CAATTATAGCAACCCAGAAAACATCGAAAAATCGGATAAATCCTAGCAGAGTAGTGGATTGCCATAGTGAATCCCAGCAGTGTAGTGGATTGCGTCGCCATGAAATATTGGACGATTTTCCGATCTCAACAAAATGTACTGCAGATCAAGAAGATCTAAGCTACCCACGAAATCAGAGTCATGAAAAACATCAAGCATGGGTAGATGTGCCCAAAAAACGGGATCTGACCATCAAAAACGGAAATGTCTACACAAAAGACTATGTCAGGCCATCAAAACTCGTGCTGTTTGCCCACACCCAAAAATCTACATGGTGATTAACGCATATCCGTTCTGGGATTGTTCGCCATATCCTGCGAAGGGTTGCCTTTTTTTGCAGGGCGACTATGCATTAGTGTCGAGGTGACGAAAATCATGGAAAGGAATCCCAGAACATAGCAATTGGAAATCCCCTGAATATTGGCTGCATGGGAAAATCATCGAACTGAATGTGTCATAGAATTGGATGATGGGAAAATGTTAACCGGAAAGCCCTATGTTTCCGGTTAAGATTTTCCCCAACAAACCAATCCTCTATGAATGTGGGATTTTCCAGCACGCCATGATTGCCTGAGGTGACTCATAGATAGTGGGTTAGCATCCTTTATAGACGGAGAACTGGCTAATGCTGATTTGACTGCGGAATTCTCGATCTCCAAGTATTCGAATTGGAGAAGCCTTGGGTGCGTTGCAACTTCGTTTTGCAATGCAGATACCCTCTGGTAATTTAACATAGCTATGGAAAATCACCATTTTTAATGGGTAAATCCACTATTTCTATGGCAATTTTCAATAGCTATGTTAGTTTACCAGAGGGTACTGCTCTCCCCATCAAAATCCCCCATTTCGTGGTGAATTTCCCAACGAAAAACACCTCCAGTTGATGATCTCCGCATGGCCGGTGGTCTGTGGATGAAGATCCCCTGGGTTTTTGACGGAAAAGCCCTGGCTTTTTGGCCATATCACAGGGTGATTGTCCTCCCATGTTTCATTTTCCGCTGCATCCCAGGTATCGTAAATCGATAGCAGCCATAGCCTGATGCAATGAAAAAGTTACTTTATTAGCCATCTAATCATCGTATACCCTCAAAACCATAGTTGCCCTCTGGTTATTTAACATAATTATGGGAAATGGCCCATTTAGTTCGATGATCTATGATGATTTATCGTTGATAAAATCACTGCTATTTTGCATCCAGCAAACTGCTAAATCACAAGAGAGAGAGCATTATTTGTTGATGTTATATCCTCATGATAGCCATAATATCCATCTAATCTTATCATAGTTATCATACGTAGTTATAATACCCATTAACCATCTAATCATAGTTATACCCCACAATAACCCTGAATAAAATGCTGGTTCCCCAGTATAATCCCATTCTAAACAACCAAAGGGTAGGCTTTTCCTCCATTTTCCCATTCCGCTGAGGTGAGTACTTTCGGCTTTGGCTACAACATCGACCCTTGGGCGGCCGAATCCACTTTGTGGAGGTGTCAAGCTTCAAGTTGATAAATGGATACAAGGGGATAGAGTGGATCAATGATGTAAAATGATGGTTACCACAGTGCCCACTTTAGTTGTAAATTGCCTGATTTGGTCTGTTTCACTCATATTTCACCGTTGGATTTTTTCAAAAATATGGTGGAAGATTTGGGATTACTAGAGGTTTTCTGGGTGGCCCAAGGTTATATCCATTAGTTGCAAGATGTTATATCTCAGGATATCCATGACATAAGCACTACATCATACTATATCCATGCAAAGAAGCCAGTATCATCCAATAAACGGACGAAACCGCGTGTCTTATGGAAGGGCTGCACGCTCCAAAAAAGGAGAGGTGACCACATAAAAACTCGCGATGACGAGGGGAAACTCGCGTCATTTCATGGGGATTTAGATCGATTCAATGACAAATGGGGATATAATATAATGACAAATGGTAAAGAACCATAGTTAGTGAAAACTATATATCACTCCATTGATAAATGGGGGTTTCTCGTGGGTTTTTGCTGGGATATGCTGACCGGTGTGGCATATCGGACCAAGTGGCCATCGATCGTTTCAAACGAAAATCATGATCAACGGATTCGTTTTGGGCCACGGCTCATCCCATCAGTGTTTATCTTTTTGGGGACGACACCACAATGTCAACCAGCAAAATTGCTGGGTTAGTGCCGATTCCAAAATCAGCATTTCCACTTCGAAAAATCACGAAAAAAAGTTGGGGGTTGTAATCTGGATGACATGGACTTTCTGAAAATTGGTGTATCAACCTCAGTCAAAGAATCCCATCTAATATCAAACACTCCCATCTAATGGCCCCAAATATGTGGACTCATCCCCTATTAAACCATATCTTGGGGGTGTGTTTGATATGAACGGGGGATGTGGTTATGACCATCATACCACTATTCTCTACTATACTTCCTATTATGGTTAATATATGTTAATATCCCATTAATATTTATCCCTTGGGATCAGAGACATAAACCAACTTTTTTTTTTCGATCAGGCACCACATTAAAATCCTACTAGAATCGTGATACATGACTTTTCAGCGTCTTTTTGGGGATTACCATAAATCAACCATGTTTTCTTCCGCTTTCCGAACAGCACCATGTCCCAAGGACAGCAAGTTGTTAGTGGACATGGCACACGGTGGCTTCGGCGTCTACTCCTTCATTCCCGATGCGGGATTTGTTGGAACTATCTTCGTGAACTACATCAGCAGCTTGGGACATTAGTTACCGATGTTTTTCCGGTGAAAAATTGCGATTTTCCATAACTAAGTCGGTTTATTCGCCATCTAATCATAGTTACAATACCTCAAAATCATAGTTGCCCTCTGGTCATGACGAACAGTTTGCGAACTGGAAGCCATGGCCCATTTAGTTCCATGATTAAATTACCAGGTTAGCAGAGGGTACCTGTGAAAAATCATGCTTTTCCATAGCAAATTGTCAGATTACCAATGGTGCCATGAAGCAAAAAATGTGGTGGTACAAGATGAAGAACGATCAGCATGTAATGCAGGGTGTAAAACTTCGTTGTTTATATTATTCAAGGGAGTTTATAGTTTGCTAGAAATTTGGGTATCAACCATTATTCATGAATTCTAAATCCTTGTCAAGGGAAACTTTCGAGAGCGCTTGGACTGACTGTCGGCTTTGAGGGCCTCACCCCACATGACAGGATATGATGCGAATCCAATCGCCAAGCTCTTGGGAAGCTCAGACCTTTTCATTGGCAAAAAAATGAGTCCCCAAAATCCGCTGTTCGACCATCATGTTCCTTACCCTCTGGTAAACATAGCCATTAAAACTGGCCATTTATAGTGGAGTTATCCATAAAAAATAGTGATTTTCCATATAGTTATGTTAGTTTACCAGAGGGTATCTTTTACTGGCCACAAATATTTTTTGGCTATACCGATGCACCCAAAAAAAAACGTAAAAACCTTTGCAGATCCACATCTTGAACTGGGAGGATCATCCCGATTGGGGGGTTTCTCTGAACATGGAAAACCCCGATAAAATCCATGGTTTATGGATGTGTATCGTTATTTTTCCACATGTTCCCCATAAGAAAAAAGTGGAGGAAATACACCATTTTGCAGACACACCTATATCCCATCATATCATTGGTTTGCATATCCCATTATATCCCATGATATCCCCATTTATCAATGGATCATATAGTTTTCACTAACTGTGGTTACTAGCCACTTGTGGACTGTGGTTTCATCCTCCAAGTAAACCATAAGTCATACCAGATTATCCAATGATTCTCCCATGTTTATCCCAAAATTATCTCATAATGATCATCAATCATCATCAATCATCAACCTTCAGCCAGCATCAATCAGTCATCATCCATCATCACCAATCATCAACCATCATTGCTCCAGGCCTAACGCCACTTCTCCCAGGCAACATCTTGACCACCATGTCGCTCTCCGCCATGCTGGTGCTGGATCCCGAAGGAGGCAAAAAGCGGGCCAGCGCCGAACCAAGGGAGTGAAAGGGAATTCATCACCGATCAAAAGGGCATTGAAATGTGAAAAACATCTATAAATCTGGGTAAATTATAACGACCTCACTGCGACCTCACTGGAATCCTGGTTAGTAAGGGAAATCATCCCAATATGGCCTTAATTCAGGTTAGTGAAATATCATAATTTTTACCCAGAATGGAGCCTTCAATTGGGAAAATTCACAAATGGAAGATGTTCTATTGCTATGTTTGATTCCCCGAGCCTGAAATGAAGGTGCTCCGGAAACTACGGTGTTTGAGATCAGCGAAAATTACCATGGGATGACCATCGAGAAATCACCCCGGCAGCTGGGTGCCCATCTCCCAGCCGGGATGATCTTCTCCAGGTGAGATCCACGAAGTTTATGGAGGCACCGCCAGTGGGCCATTGGGTTTGTGTGAGAATGGGCCCCAAAATTTCATGGTCGATCATCATCTGGTTGATGGTTTGGAACATGAATTTTATGACTTTCCATATATTGGGAATAATCATCCCAACTGACTTTCAAATTGTTCAGGAGGGTTGAAACCACCAACCAGATCATGTTCTCTAGTAAAAGACCATACTGGGGTGCGTACCCTATTTTCGGACTGCCCCAATTTGAGATTTTGAAGACAACCAAGCGCTGCCTTTGCTAGGGGTGCTCTGTTGACTTTTCTTACTTTGTTCGAGATGGGGGCAGGAAGCTACAACGATTTGGTACTGCTGGAGAGGACGAATGTCAACCCTATCAACAAGGGCTACTATTTTGAATGATTTTAAATAAGGGGTGGGCCTCGTTTTGGAGGCCCACCTTCCGGTAACCACTGATGAAAAGTTTCTGTCTTTCCTTAGACTTGTTCATTACTGATCTGCCAAAAACCACCGTGCCCATTGCCATAGATTGTTTCACACTCTTCCGGGCCCAAAAAGAGCAAAAACTCCATGAATTCCCGTAAGTACATCCGAAACAAAAGAACGCCAGTCCTGGGAGGTTTGAAGGTTGAGGATGCTGGTAATGGCTGCAAGCGCTTGGATCTTCCCACCGTGCAGTATGGCCAGAGCAAGGCGGGTCAAAATTGGAACCTTGTTGAGCCACGAAGTGATTGGTGATACCTTAAATGGGATACAGAAACAACAGCAGGAAGATCAATCTATAATAACCCCCGAAAAGATAGAAAAGTAATTTATCCCCTTTAATAGGGATAAATTACTTTTCTATCTTTCTGCGGCTTACTATATACATATATCAAAGAATATGTTGCTTACTTATGATCTTACAGAAACGATGCCCCTGAAATGATGCACTTGTGGATAGAATAAAATGACTTTGGTAATCCAAAATCGAACAACAATGGACCCACACATGTTCTGGTATTTTTGAATTTATCATCCATTTCATGGTATGTGATTCTGAGAGATTCCTCCGTTTTAAAGCAAGCTGTTTGGTTGTTGGTGGCTTCAACTACTTCTTATTTCTGATCCTGTCTGGGGTGACGCTGCTAACTGACATACATTGGGGCTTGGTGACCAGCTGCTGATGCGTTTCCACCATCATTGATTTGAAAAGTGGTGAAGCATCACAATTATTGCAGTTGAAAACCTGCTGGATCAAAATCCCATTCTTGTTGGTTGAACATGGTTGAACACCTCCATTTGAGTAAGAAAGATCAGATTAACCATGTGTTTTACAATGTTTTACAGTTCACCTTTAGTTGGATAGATCCCAATTTTTGGTGGCTAAACAATCACTAAATCTTCCACCAAAAAAAATGGTGTCGTTTGACTGTCAGGACATAGTGCTGCGCATGTCGGCTGGTGGTGAGGCCAGAAGGGTGTCAGGGATGTGTTTGTGCCATTGAAAATACCCTTGGTAGTTGGTGATGTTAGCCAGGAGTAGTAGTAGTAGTAGTAGTAGTAGTATGTTCATCATCAAACATTAGTTGATGTACTACATGTACTACATCCCACCTTTATTGGTAGTTGACGATTGAAAGTTGATGATGCCACCCATTTGGGTGGGCAAATTCACCAGAATTGGCTGGGCAAAGTTGGGATATCACCTGTATTTCTACCAGGAACCAACTAATCATCTTGGGAAATCTGGCCATAGATCAGGGACGTTGCGTTGAGGTTTTTCGGCACACTCCATACCAGAATAGTTTTCCAGTGCAGAGACACTCCATACTCCACACCCATTTTTTGATGTACGACCTAAGCAACTGGATATCCACACGGTAGAAGATCCATGATGCAAAAATGGTGAATGCTTTGATTTCATTTCGATGAAGGAATCTCCCATCAAGCACCCGGCAAAACCCAAATGCCATGAAGGGATTGTCTGATAGTCTGGAACCCCAAAATCTCCCATGGTTTATCACCATTTTCCAAATGGAAATGACTGTAAAATGGACCCGGACTGCAATAGCTACATCCAATCTGATCAGGGTTATAGCCACGATTATACCCACTTAAAAACCTCCAACTGCATCAAGAAGGAGCCGTGTTTCACAAGAGAACAAAGCATAGCCGGCGAAATGACCCCAGTTTCTCCATTTACAAACCCACCAGCTGTAGCTATCTCCCCCTCAACCCAAACTATGTCCGTCACAGGGGGCCTCGCAGGATGCGTACCTCTCTGCCAAAGCCACCTATACCATGGCGGATGGAGAAGAGCGTGAGACGCCTCTGCAGGAGGCGACACCGAAACGGCGGGAAAATCCCCGCACTGAAGGCTTACCCCCTGGTAAACGTTTACAGTTTGCGAACTGGAAAATGGCCCAGTCGAACTAGTGGATTTACCCATGAATAGCATGGTGGATCTTTCCATAGTTATGTAAACGTTTACGAGGGTAAAGCTGGGAAAATCATCCGTAAATGTTGCAGTTTCCAGCCATGTTTGATTGCCAGAGGGCTTATGAGATTCAACCACTGAAAATGGGAATATCATTCATAAATGATGGTTGGTTGGATAAATGTTGCGGTGGGTGGGTGTAACCTTATTTAGGCCGGTGGTAGCTTTGAAGTGCTTTGGAGACGGATTTTTGTGCGTGATTCCTGTGCCTTTTTGATCTGATTTCGTTGGCATCACCTGTCTTTTGGCTTTTCAAGATCAGTAGAGAACGCACCAGACACTTCGGAAGACAAGGTACACTGTTGTCGCAGAATCCCCTGGGCTGTGCTTCGGCCATGAAGGTTTTTGGACGCATGCTTCAAACTCCCTGAAAAACATTCCAAGGACCTCATCCTCTGGAACCTTTGACATTGAACTATACCTTGCACAGTCTGAAGGCGACACTCCCTTCTTGTGGTCCTCAGAGAGGGATTGTGGCAGATGACAGGCTTCAACAGGGGCATCATGCAGACCCTCGCAAGTCGCAGCTCAACAACAACAGACACAAACAACACTTACGCCGGGGCGGGTATAATAAAAGATTGGCTGAAGAGGCAAAGATATTGGCACGTCGTTCTCCAATATACCCAACATGTATAGACTGTATAGATATATATATATATAGTGTACATAGAGATGACGTAGACGAGGTCCGCCACTGGAGGTGATGCAGTAGTGAACAAACGCACTTGGGATATGGCCAGCTGGGACCAATCAGAGTGGCGAAAACATCGCCCCCCCCCTTTCTTGATGGTTATAATCATAGATTATACTGTCCTTAAAGAAATTGGATGATTATCATCACCGAAGTGGGAATCTCAAGACACAGTGGCGGATCACATCCAAAAAGATGGATGATCAGAATTTCAAGCCCAGAAAAGCCCCAAAAAATGGTGATTTTCTCCAGCTCCGAAAAAATCTGTCGCTGCTCCGCCATCCTCTGCCATCCTGTCAGGGCCTCGTAACAGACGCCACCAGTATCAGTGAGGTGCCGCTGTGTTCGGACCATGACTGGACGCACAAAACTTACGGTGAACTGTTGGGTTTATGAGGGGGATGCAACTATGGTAGAGTTATATATAGTAGAGTTATATCTACCATAAACCATAGTTAAGTCACTTCTAACTCTAGTTTCGATGGCTAAATCAACGCACATCACTAACCTTGGGGGCCTCACCTCGTTCAAAAAAAAACGGCTTGCAGGCGCCGCTGATCCCGTGAGTCCCCAATGGCCAATTTATAGTGGATTTACCCATGAATAGCATGGTGGATCTTTCCAGTTCGTTATGTAAACGTTTACCAGAGGGCACATGGGATACAACATGTGATGATTTTTTGGTTAGGAAAGTGAGTTTCCGAATCATAGGCTTTTGGGGTTCCAAAATGTTGACACAGCGCCAAGCCCGTACAGGGGTGATACCCTTAAGACCGCCAAACGCAAATATGTTTTTTGGTGGATCAATTTATGGCTTATGATATAGATTGATATAGCAACCCAAAAAAAATAGAAAAGTAAAATCCTACTACCATGGTGATGATTTGCCTACCATAGTATCATTCCTGTTGGGTCGATCATATCACTGGTGTGTTGGACTGTCACATCAATGGGATCGGGACTGATGTCATTCTTGCTGTATATCTCAGTAGATACAATACAATATAATATATAGTTCAACATGATGCATATACGCGTGTGTATAATATATATATATACATTAGACATATATGTATACATCATGGAATAATGTCAATAATAAGAATAATAATAATAATGGTAAAAATACAATAGTTATAATTATACTAATAATTCATAACAATAATATTATAAATTATGTATATAAAGTCTTTCCGATTGAGGTATCCTTGCAGCTCTGGCGCTCGCGCTTTGCGGATCTTCTGGAGCAGGCGGATTTGGAGATTTTTTGGGATTTTATGGGACTTTAGAGGGATATCATGGGAAAATCATGGGAAAATCATGGGAAAATCATAGGAAAAACATGGGAAAAACATGGGAAAAACATGGGAAAATCCTTGAAAATATGTTCACGATGTTTTTTTTCCAGCCATGTTTGATATAACATGGAAGGGTATATATAAACGGATATCGGAATACTGCAACAAAAATGAGGATCTTACGGGGTAATTTTCTAATGGTGATTTACTGTATTGGGATATACCTTGGGTAATCATAGGAATAGCGAAATCCTGCACCACCAAAAGGATGTTTGAAAGCCTTATAAATATGGAATAAACCAGCTATCAACTGGTGCAGGATTATACCATCTTCAGCAAATCTGGATGAGCATTTCAAAAACCTATTGGAAAATCCCTCAAAAATTGTTAGTTTTTATTCAGAAGGGATCCCCAGCTCATTCATGATGATCACTCATCTACAAACGATACTATACTGTAACTTTGTGGAGGAGAAACCCAGAGAGTGATGTAGAAAATGGAGGTCCAAAGCCAACCAGTTTATTGGGATGCTACTGAATGGAGTTCTAAGGGATATATATATATACTGTATAATAACCAACCGTTTCATATATATATATAGACACTAGAAATAACCAACCATTTCATATAGAAATTCCACATCTAGAAACGGGGATGAATGAGCATCAATCCTACAAAATCAAAGTGGATTGCAAAGCTGAAATCATCATAATACAAAATAGTACTGTTGTTGCCCAGTATTGCCATTTTGGATGAAGAATATCCATTCTGTCCAAAATATGGCACCCCGAAATTGCAATGGATGGACACGTTGTTTCGGAACTTCAGATCGACCCAAAAACTAATCCGTGAAATCATGGTTCTTAGGTATTATCCCATCATATATCACCATGATGTCCCTATGGTTCTTAGTTATTATCCCTAGTTATATCACCAAAAAGTATATCCCAACAGTTTCCATTCCACCGGCAGGTCCTCTCGATAAACGAGAGCGAATCAGCGCCCTGATGAGTTGAGTGAGTTGATATGTTGGTTGGTGGATTTTAATGGGGAGAAAGGGCATGAAATATAGGTCTTAACATGTTTTTAGCAATAGAAATCTGGGCATATGGTATGATATAACTAATAAATGACTGTTGATTGGTGATTATATTTATAACCAATATTGGGGAAACCTATCAACCAACTATTATAATGATTTAATGGTGATTTAACGATTGGGACCTTTCTCAGCAAAGTTCTTTCATGAGGATATCATAGAGATTTACCCAGCAAAAATGGTGTTTTGATTCGGAACGGATGAGTATTTGATGGTGATTTCACAATTATTTGAAAATTATTTACTGGCGGTTTACCTGGGATGTCACTAGTGGTTACACACTGGCGAATGCATCAAGTACAAAAAGTGGGGATTTTAAGAATCAAGTATTTTCTCAACCAAAACTTATGGAAACGTGGAATCTCGTTCCCAACCAGTATCAAAGGATGACAGAGCGTATTGGCTTCTAATGTGGTATTTGATGGAAGGGTCATTGCTATTTAAGAGAAAAAACAACCCGATTTAAGCATCAAAGAGTGGCGCTTAAATCGGTTTAAGATGATTTGACCATTGAAAATTAGTGATTCGCTGATTTTTTGTACCAAATTTTGGTATGATGAGTTTAGACGCAACAATTCTATGATGGTATTGTGGGATATAATGGGATGTATAACCAAAGAATGTGGGGATGGACCTGGGTTTGTCTAAAGAATGGAAGATATATCTATGCCCCAACATAGTATATGACCGTCTAGATGGGAAAAAAATTATGATCTGGTTGGTAAATCCTTTCAGGTCAGCCCATTTGCACTCGGAAATTGACATCGGTTGACGAAGATCAGTGAATTTGTCGTCTATCCGATTCACCGAACTAAGACATGTGCACCTTGGTGAACTCATGTATGGTCAATTCATGGTGAAAAGTTGTTTTCACCACACAGAAGGACTTCAAGAGCCCTGATTTAGTGCGATTGAATGCGATTTAACACCAATCTTGAGGATTAACCAACACATGCAGCAGAACGGGAGATCAGGTGTGGTTTACTCTTAAGCCGGTATTCCTGTGGTTGTTGAGTACTTCCAGACAAAATGTTGTTGGTCACGGCCGAAAATCTTGAGACTCCATGCTCTAACAGATTGGAAGAAGATCTACCTGTTGGAAACAAGACCATGGTTGGGTTAAGCATGAAAGGAAGCTGGATTGTAGCCATACACTCACAGTTCTTGAGTTCTGTTAGGATTAGATGAACCATAAGCAATGATGTTCTGCCTTGGAAATGGCAGATTGTTTTTACCGAATGGGTCAGGAGATATACATATATACATATAATTATATATATACACACACATATGTCTTAAATAAATATGTCTATATATATATATACACATATTAACATTGGATATCCATTTGTGTATGGATACCCGGAAACAATTTTCGCCGCCCAGTTGAAACTGCTCTCAGACCTCTCCAGCACCATTCGTGCCTAGCACCAGAGTTACAGCGTCAGCCCCCAGTGAACCAGAGCTATATCCCCATAAACCCTAGTGAATGATGATGCTATTGGTATAGTTGGTATCATCTTATCTGCACAAATTATAGCGAGGACAGCCGAGGCAACGAGGCAGGTTGCAGGAATTAGCGAGGTCAGCCCTTAATTTGCTCATCAGAATTAGCCGACCTCGACGAGGTAGCCTTGCATTGGTTCTGTTGCATGCTTGGGCTTGGCTAGAAAAACTTTTTTGGGGGCCAGAGGCCGGTCAGCAGGCAAGGAAGGAAAAAAAAAACTTTTCAGGCCCCAAAAAGTTTTATTTTCTATCGCCAGGCCGGTCAGAAGGCAAGGAAGGAAAAAAACTTTTCAGGCCCCAAAAAGTTTTATTTTCTATCGCCAGAGGCCGGTCAGCAGGCAAGGAAGGAAAAAACTTTTCAGGCCCCAAAAAGTTTTATTTTCTATCGCCAGAGGCCGGTCAGCAGGCAAGGAAGGAAAAAAAACTTTTCAGGCCCCAAAAAGTTTTATTTTCTATCGCCAGAGGCCGGTCAGCAGGCAAGGAAGGAAAAAAAACTTTTCAGGCCCCAAAAAGTTTTATTTTCTATCGCCAGAGGCCGGTCAGCAGGCAAGGAAGGAAAAAAAACTTTTCAGGCCCCAAAAAGTTTTATTTTCTATCGCTAGAGGCCGGTCAGCAGGCAAGGAAGGAAAAAAACTTTTCAGGCCCCAAAAAGTTTTATTTTCTATCGCCAGAGGCCCGCTTCGTGGGTTGACGGCTGCAGAAGCAGTAGGATTCAGAGTTGCTCCAGAAGAGCATTGCATCTCTGCGATAATGTCCGAGATGTCACCACCCAAGCGCAAGAAGCGCAAAGACCGATCAGAGTCAGATTTAAAAATCCCTGCAAGAGACCGTGGATCGTGGAAAAAAACTTTTCGGAAGCTGAAAAGTTTTTTTTTCCTTGGGGTTGGACCCTGGAAAGAAGGCCCACAAGCTACTTTCTTCCTTCGAATTAACGAGGTAAAGCCTTAATTTGCACCTGCAAATTAACGAACGAGGACAGTAATCATGGGGAACAAATTAAGACACGAGGGAGACGAGGTAAGAATTAAAGTAATTTGGCCAGATCTTATGGGTCTATAATGAAGATAATTCTGGGAGTATGGAATAGTTTGGCATGATGATGGTTTCCTTGGAGGATCATTCGATTGAAAGTACGTGGTTAATAACCCTGATGGATAAGTCCGCTAAGTGGGCTATCCCCTTTCTAATTGGATTTGAAGCCAAAGGAAACACCAACCACCTATTTCGAGTCGTGGGATGAACCAGGAAGTAGTACTAAACATTCGAATTACCCAGCAAAATGATGAAATGGAGAAAGTCTTCGGGGATTCAAGCAACAATAATGATGTTCAATGGGACAATCGGGGAAGCCATAAAAAGATCGGAAGACAACGAGTTGTACAACGACCTGAAGTGCCACGACTTCGGAGCTAAGATGAGGGTAACCATCCCAAATGGTTCCTCACTGCGACCGAACCCAGGGAAGCATGGTTAATATATGGGAAATCATCCCCTTTTATGGCCGCAAGATTCAAGTTAGTGAAATATTATAATGTACCCAGATGATTGGTTTTACTATGGTTATCGGGTGTACGGATATATGTTGAAGACTTTGAAACATGTGTTTTTATAAGATTTTCAAATGGGTATGTTCAAATATAAACCAGAATTGGATAGATTTGGGTATGTCACATATCTAAATAGATGGGCGGACGACTTGGTGAAATGGATGATGATCTTGACCAAATAACCCCATGGTTGGAAACCACAATGACATCATTTTGAACAGTAAGTGTGGAGTTTAGGCATTCCAGAAATTTGTGTTCTTAAAAAAATACTCCAGTGTTGGGATTTTTGATTGGAATATTAAGAATACTTTGGATCGCTCGCATCAAAATTTCAGTGGTCGTTCTGTCAAACCAGATTCATGGGTCGCTCCGTCGAACAGTTATTATTGCTCAACTCCCAGACTTGTTTTCAAGGGAATGTTACAGGACATGTAGGCTCTACCCTCAGGGAGTATTTCCCGTTGAATTTCCGGTCAAATTCTCCGGGGGACGTCCCGGCTGTTTCATGACACCTGTTCTCGAATTGCCGAGAACAGAAGTCTTTGGAGGATGGCTATGATCAAGATCCGCCACTGGCCATGGGGAACCAATGGGGTTATACTTGGGGGTGCAGGAGCTGGGGCTACTAGTGGCTATACCCTCTGGTTATGACTGACAGTTCGCCATGGTTAAGCCATGGCCCATAGAAATAGATGATTTTCCCAGCTAGAAACCTCCATTTATGGTTGGGATTTTCCATGAAAAAAGTTAAATAACCAGATGGTAACTATGGGATAATGACCTCCATAAGATGGGATATGAGGCCACAGTAAACTGGTTTGAAGTATATCCGACAAAAATTTGACCAAACTGCACCCCCAAGTTTTCTGGGGATATGGGGATATCACAATGGGATATCTTCATGTAATACTGGGTAGATGATGGGATAATCATGGAATTTCAGCCTACCGGTGGTCAAAAATGCCTGGCTAGGAAAGCCCCCATAAAAACGCACTGATATTCCAAGGCCATAGCCATGATCACCAGAGGGTTTTTCTTAGGCATCTGAGAAAAAAGAAACGAATGATGGTAGAAATGTCGTGGAGGTATGTTATGGTTATGGCAATGTTTCATGGGGATGCACTGGGATGTAGAACCATGAGCTAGGGTCTGAAGGTCTGGGGGGTACCTCGACATGGCTGTTGAACAGGAAAACGATGAAGCAGCAAATTTTGGGTACCGTATGTTCAGAACTCTCTGTCATTCCCATATAGCGGTTGGTCAAAGGCATTCCCAGTTCATGGATGACAATATCCTTAATCTACCAGATATTATAATCCCAGATGAATAGATGATGACTTTTTATGGATGATAATCAACCAGATGATGATAATCAACCAACCTGTGTTTTGAATCTTGCTCAATGCTGTATGATGCTTAGGATTGGGGGTAACTCTCCCGAAATCGCCTTCCCTTCACTGCCGTTGTAATTTTTTCCCCAGAACGGGTGCTTACCCATGTAGCTCCATGTCCATAGTTGTGCTCTCATTGAAGATCATCCCGATGTCAACTAACCGTGGTCAATACGACGCAGTGTTTTGTGTCCTAAGGTGATGCAATGAACTGTGTGTGTGTGTGTCGTGCGTGCTATGTAGAGTTAGACTTGAATTAAAGCCTGACACTCTGTGGGGCAGCACAAACGGTATCAATGATATCCATTTCTCCAATTTCAAAAAGATCACAGGAATTCAACAGTTTAATCCAAACGCCCAATGTCTCATTGTGCCATGAAGTCTCCACTTGGAGGTGGCTTATCACTCCTCCAAGTATTGTGTTTAAGTATCCTCATGCTGCCATGATGTACCCATGATATATATATATACATATATATACATATATATATATCACTTATATAAGTGATATATATATATATATCCCATCTTAAGCACTTAAGCCCTTACTTTCCAAATATCCGCAAAAATTCCGGTGTATTTCTGCAATTTCACTTGCCCACACATATCCCATTGCTATCCCAATTATCCATAATTATCCTATGAATTTCCCAATGTTCCCCCAATCCTTTATCCCAATGCGATAATTGGGATAAGTTCAGTAAATAATCTCATGATTATCCTATCATTATTATCCCAATATAATTTCATAATTTATCATTGGCATCCCATGAAATATCCCATGATGATTATCCCCATTATTCTCCCAATAAAATTTCATGATTACCCTCTGGTAAACTAACATAGCTATGGAAAATGGCCCATAGGAATAGATGGTTTACCGAACTTAAAAATGGTGAATTTCCATGGCCATGTTAAATTACCAGAATGTATCCCATCATTATTATTATTATATGTTCATTATTATCCCCAGTATTATCCCAATAAAGTTTCATGATTCTCCCAATGATTCTCCCAATGTCTGATATCCAACCCTTCTGCGACCGCCAAGGTTCATCCTCCATCTGCTGCAGGATCTGCAGGGTGAAGCCATTGACGCCGTGGAGCTCGCTGCGTCCATCGGGCTGACAACGACCAAAGCGTCCGGGGGGGTTAAAACCAAGCATTGATGGGCGTATAAAGGGACATGATGGGATGTTTTTGCATTGATTTATTGATTTGTTGATTGATTTATCCATTTGTTTAGTTGTTTATTCATTTTGTTAGTTAGTTATTTATAGGTACAATATATATATATATATACATATATATATGGGTTATACGAATGGCTTATTGATGGGGCCGGAGTGTCTAAAGCCAAACATTTATTGAGGGTATGACAGTGCATAGTGGGATATACATTTATATAACCAATAATGTGATTTTGGGATATACACCCATATTTGGGAGTGATAATCCAGAAGAAACTAACTTGTTGGTGCTGTCATTTTTTCCCAGCTTATTTGAGATCATGGTCCCCAGATCAGCCAAGAACCAACGGTGTTTTGATGCTACCGAAATTCCAATCGAAATTTGGGGGACTCACATGAAAAAATACCAAAAAAACGGATGTTTTTTGTGGCATGGGCGATACAAGAGCTACCCCCAACGCAGGGTTCTTAAAATTGGTTGGGAGAATCAAGTCACTGCACTTGACCATATATTTTGGATGGACAATCGAAGCATTTGGGATGATTCGCACCAACGAGCAGTAGATTGTTGGGGTCAGTTACCGTCAACGTAAATTGGATAATGCAGGCGTGTCTTAATTTTTGGTTGAGTTGTGTGGATTTGTATTCAATAGCCAAACCTAGCCACACCTAGCCACACCAAGAACTGATCATGGTGGCAGCAAATCATTTTGATGATACTCGCCATGTATCAATATATATATATATACATAATTATATATGTAAATTGGGATGAGAAAACTTTCTAGAATCTCAACAAGTGATAACTCAGGTGCAGGAGTGTTGCGGCATGTATTTGCACATGGACACATGGCCCCCATTCCCCTTGGCTCCATCCAAGGTTCACGAAATGGGGTCGACACTACCTGCCATCCTTGATGTTTGCCCATCGAAGACAGATGTGCAACAACTTCAAGGCAACAGCTGCGAAATGGTGGTTGCAACTGGTCAGGTTGCTGGGAACAAAATTCCGTTGATGTGACTGGATAAACCAACTGTTTGGAATCACAGTGGAAAATGGTTTCATGGAAATGAGTCATGGAGACCTTTGAGTCAAAGAAACCTTTTTCCAAGGATATTTTTTGGATTGAGACTGGTTAAGATATAGCATGTTTACCGGACAAATGGATCTCAACCATCATTTGAGCATGGTAAAAATGTAGAGTCCTACTAGTGCCAAGTTGGGAACATTAATTCCGAGCAGCTCTCAAGCTCCCAGTGGGTACAACCCCACGAACGTCCAGTGATATCTCACGTTCTCAAAAACTCCGGTTGTTACTTGGTGAGTCTTACGTTACCCTCTGGTAAACTAACATAACTATGGAAAATCACCATTTTCAATGGGAAAATCCACTATAAATGGTCATTTTCAATAGCTATGTTAAATTACCAGAGGGTATGTGCTTTCTCTTGGAACAGGACCCAGGGGTGCAGCACTATGGTGGGGAGATGTTTCAGGTGCTCCGCAGACCTGAGATGGGGTGAAACCTGGAGGTAAAAAGTTTCCGGGAAATCCACGACGACTGGGGAATCCATAGGGAATGTTAATGAAACATTGATGACATAGATATAATATAATAATATATCATATATATAATGTTAATATTAATATATAATGTTAATTAATTAATGATATAATATATAATGAGTAATAATTAGTATTATGTTCTCTTTCATGTCAACAGGATGCTATCTATAGGGATTTTTTGGGGAGTTCCTGAAGCAAATCCAGAAAAATTGAGGAAGCCAAAGTGAAAAAAGGAAATCAACCGCATGTGATGTGAACGAAGGAAACATATGGGAGTTGAATCACCGAAATATAGGGAGGTTTGATTACGCAACGTAGGATTGGGGAAAGGCAAGGCTAGAAAGGACACCCAAAACATGGGAAGGCACTGAGAATATTAACAACTCGTTGTCTTTGGTGTCTAAAAAATGTTGACCAATACCAGTGGAGCAATATCAGTGGATGTTATATTGCCATCTTGCTTTAGAAGAAGATATCCAAGAGGGTCAGAAGGGCGTTTGAAGGTTCATGTCAAGCTACTGTGAACCAGAGAGAGGGAACAGTTATGTTTTGTTCACGATTAGATTAGCTTGGATTTTTCTGTCCATAAATATTGCCACATATCCTTTCATTGTTTGATGGGTCAGGTTTGCGATGATCTTCCTATGATCATCCCCATTCCAAGTTGATCCCAGATTAGCTTTAGAAAAATTACATGAGAATCCATGGGTACCGGAGTAAAATGATCTACCAATGGTTGTTTTTCTATGTCTATGTAGATATTTCTTTGATGGTACCCATATGTATATATATATATGCATATGTATATATATATATATAAATTTGGTAAAATGTGATGTCCCAAATTTGGTAGGTTAAATCCCATAAAAGCAAAAAGATCAAAATGGCAGGCTTTCGAGCCACCAAGCAACTTCACAGCCAGGCTTTGCGAGATGAGGCAGATGAGAAGTTCAATCAGCCGCTCAGCCGGGATCAGTGACCAGCCGGGTGGTGAATGGATGGTTCATGGTTTTTAAAAACTGTAAAGCCCGGATATAAATAGTCCCAACACATAAATATCTAGAAGTTCGGATATGTATATGTGTATGCATACCAAGAATATGTTAATTTATGATATATTAATGGGAGGATAGATAAGGTGTAAACCTCCCAATCATTGGGGGCATAAATGGAACTTGGGTTTATGGGGTAAAAGCAACAATTGTTAAGTGTGAATATACGGATCTTGACACGTACCGATATCTGGATTAATTGGGGTATAACACATACCTAAATTATCTAACCAACTGGATATTCTGGATACATTGATTGGGATTAGCTAGGCATGACGACCGTCAAAAATCCAGCACGGGTTGAGTCATACCTGCACTGGTTTGGACTCCGAGATTGGTTCTCAAGTGCTCTTGAATCATTCCCTTATGGAATTCCATGTTTGTCATTCATAATTTTGATAATTATCAAAAACACATCTTTTTTTGTAACTTAACATAATTATAGTAACTTGTAATTATAGTTATTCCCAAATTTTGATATTCCCATTCAATAACTATAGTAAAACAATGGGATTCCATGGCATTCGGCTCTGGCATTCCATGGGGAGCTTTCAGGCTGCCTCCACCGGAGCCCACCAGGACAGCCCGTGAAACCACGAGTTTTTCAAACGTCGGTGGTGGATGGGGGAGAATCTAATAGTGGTAATAATTGATAGTGGTTATAGGTGATAATCATCAATAACTAATGGTTATAGGTAAGAACTAATGGTTATAGATAATAATCATCATTAATTGACAGTGGTTATAGGTGATATATCTATGATTTCTAACTAATTGGAAATAACTAATAGTGCTTATAGGTAATTATTGGTTATCAAGAACTATGGTTTATAGGTGATATATCGAACTACTTTTCATGGGCGTTTTTGAGCAATTTGTAACCAATTTTCTGGTAATCAATAATCATCAATTGTCGTCAATAATCAATAATCGTATCTAGGTCAATCGACTGGATGGGTATCAATGGGATGATCTACTCACTAACCAGCTAAGTTTTTTTTGTCATTTTTTGCAGGGTATCTGGCCGATTGGCCATGTATTTGGTAATAATTGATAGTGGTTATCAATAATCATCAATAGTCAATGATCAACAATGGTAATCAACTATAGTTATTTACTATCATGATTATGGATTGTTGTCACTCAAACAATCATGGTCATTTCTTATTATTGATGTTCATTGGATCATTGTTTACTATTGATTAGCAAGACACCTCTTGCTGGGGATGCTTATTGTTGTATATTTACTATCAGGTACCAAGATTATTGTTTACTACCTGCTATCGTCACCGCAAAGATATCCATCAACCAGCCACTCAGATAGTCTCAAAAACCAAGACTACAGGTACTAAGAGTTCTTACACAATCAAGCGATACATTTTCTTCAGCATACACTTCAGTATATTTCAATAGTCCAACCAATAAACCTGAGATTTTTCCATGGCCATGTTTCATGGGCTGATGATTTTCAGTGCCTTTTTTCTTGACAAGGTCCACCTGATCTCAATGGTTCCCCGTGCATCAGGCCCTTATGGTTTGAAGCCGCAAAGTGGGGTGTGTAGAGAGTTAATTTGGTTTATAAGTCCAATAACTGTGGTTTCTATGGGCTTTATAACTATTGTTTACATAGAAAAGGTTTTTTTCAACCAACTAAACCAACAGTGGGGGGCCGCACCGGCCGCACCAATAAATAACACATCAAATCCAAACGGCTGTTTCACCGGTCCACCAGTCATCTTTGTGTTGCGCAGGAGCAACGTCCGCGGCTATACCTACTCAGCCCCGCCGGTGCGGAGCATGGCCATGTACAATGACGCCAGTGCCGGATGAAGGATCGACCGGACGTCATTTGTTTCATGGAAAAAATGTGGTTTAACTAGTTATAGAACTAGTTATCTTAACAATTAACAATTTACTCAGTTATTAACAATGAACAATTTAATATAACTAGTTATATATAATTTCTTGAACTAGTTATAGTATCTCAGTTAACTTAACGGTTTTACTTAAACTATTTCAGTTAACTAATGGTTAACTGATGATTAATTTTACTAACCATGTTTTATAGATTATAGATGAATTTAGTCAACCACCAACAAAAATAATGGTGTTTGACTAATGGTTAATTCAACCAATGGATCAATGTTTATGAACTAATCTTGAGTTCACCAATTAATCCACCAAGATGTAAATAGTTCAGTTTATGGAATCCTGGAATTTAATCATTCTTGTTGGATTGATTCAGGTAACGACCCAAAAATCATGCGATTTGAATAGACATGCGGTATATAACCCCAACCGTATGATGTTTGGAAACTGCTGATGAACTTTGGGATTTTTGTACAGATGAAGCGAGTGATTATACCATAGTTGGAGGGGATTCACATACATAAATCCCAGCTACTTTGATGTTTGCCGCGGGCCCCCGTGCCCCATAGCCATACAGCATACCCCAAACTGGAACGGTCAGGATCTAAGATCCTGAAAAGTGTGCACCATTCCTTGAACGGTCATGGTTTAATATACCCTCTGGTAATTTAACGTAGCGATTGAAAATGGCCATTTATAGTGGATTTTCCCATTAAAAATGGTGATTTTCCATAGTTATGTTAGTTTACCAGAGGGTAGCATCGGCTAATTGATGAGCCACTATAACTCTCTATCAATGGAGCTTTTCATGGGATCCGCTATACATGGTGAATTGTCCATTGCCATGTTTGATGAAATCAGAGGGTATTGATTATCAGATGGTATTTGATGTTGAAATACAATTCATAAAATGGGGGCTCGAAGACTTGGGAATCAAACTCCCAGCATACCTGCAATGATGATCATCTGACACAGCGATCGCTGCAGTTCCGAATTTGTTGAAACGGGTGCCACCTGGAGCAAAGCGAAGGCAGGCTGTGATCCCTTTGTGAATCTGGTTGGTGATGGGTTTGTTTATATAGTTCTTCAATGTTCCAAGCACGAACTGGGAAAACTTTCAAAAACAGCACCCCAACTAACAGCTGTTTGTTGTGGTGTGGCATCACCACCAGATATGAAGCCAGAGCTTTTTCGTGCAGAATATGAGGAGCTCACCAGCTGCTTGCCCGAGAAAAACGGGCGAAGAACTGCTGTTGAAATGGCTGGACCAAAAGTTGCGGCTGCATTGGGTGCCAACCCAAACAATGGCAATTCGAAGGTATGCAATCCCATTTTCAGGCGCTCATATCATTTTGGCTTCTTATAGATCCCATTATATCCGCATAAAAAGATCTGTTGTATATCACAAAAAATCCTTGGATCCGAGAGAGATTCTGCAGGAAAATTCCTTTGGTTGATGGGTTTTTCACCATGGTTTCCTGACAATTTTCCCTTAACAATCCATATTTCAGATGTTATCCGCATATCCCATGATGTCCCACCATTTTACCCCCATGTCGGTGGTTTCTGGTCCAAAAAATGGCTGGTAAAGATGGCATTGGGAATTACCCATCCATTGCAGGCAGGGCTCCTTTCAAAAACTCGCCGTGTAGCCCGAGGCCTTGCGTCCTGGTCGACGGGTGAAGATTCGTGGCTTGGTGCAGCAGGCGCGGCCAATGATTGCGCCAATATCCTACAGAAATAACCTCTTGGGGATATTAACAACTGATCATCAATTATTATTGTTACACAACATTTAATAATTGATTAGCTGTATGGCACTATAACTGATGTGTGAACTAAACAATTAATCATAGCAATTAACTGTAAGTATTGGAGAAAAATTTGGAGACTATTGTACAACCACATCAAATTATGGGGAAATCATGGGGATGGTGGGAGGTAACGGGACATCTTCGGGGGTATCACCAAGATGTTTCGCCAATGCTACTAGTGTGGGATATTGGTATCAACTATGATATCCCTATGTTATGCCATGATATAAATAGATGATACATATATATATATATGTATATATACACCCATTATCTCCGTTATTATATGAAAGAATAGGGATACGCAATCATATGATGTATATCATACATCCTCATGTTTATCCTCATTAATTCACTCTTTCATGGCGATTGTTTCCATTGTTATTAGATTCTTAAATATTTCACCAAGAAGCTATGCTGCGGCAGAGGCAGAGCTGAATGGCCAGTTTGGTCGGCTGCTACAATTGGTAACCCGGCGCGAGCTTGCTGTGGTTGTTTGGAGCCAGGTTGCTCGAAGCTAAGTAGTGGACCTGATAAAACACAGCATGCCCAGTTTTTTTTTACTTGGTTGTGGTTCCTGAACTTTGAGAAGACAAAGCTTATCATCTTTGATTTGCCACTTTCGCGCTATCACAGACCACTGCCATGGTTCCACTAATGGTTGACCCGATGATCTGAGATGATGTCAGCAACCAGCAAAAAAATCACGGAGCTTTTCATGGGAGAATCATCGCACTCAATGGTGGGATTTTATTACCCTCTGGTTATTTACTCTCTGGTAATTTAACATAGCTATGGAAAATCCCCATTTCCATAGGTAAATCCTCTATAAATGGGCCATTTTCCATAGCTATGTTAAATTACCAGAGGGTAACAGTTTGCCATGGAAAGATCCACCCATTTTTAAGTTCGGTAAACCATCTATTTCTATAGGCCATCTATACCATGGCGAACTGTGAATGTCATAACCAGAGGGTAGATTGTCCATGTCCAGAACTATTGGAATCCCTTGTTCGATTTTCCGCTATCATGTTCATCTCATGATGTCAGTATCGTATCGGTATCATATCCCTCTTAGCTTAAATCCTCTAAAACATATCGCTGTCATGTCAGTACTATATCATTTTTGATCTTTCCTCTCAGTATCATATTACTTTCATATCGGTGTTAATTATAGCAACCCCGAAAAAGATAGAAGTTGGTAAAACCTACTAAAATAGTGATAAATTACTGGACATTACTTGTCTATTTTTTCGGGTCTTACTTGTGACCTCACTGTTGCGTCGCTGGAATGATGGTTTATATATGGGCAATCATGTCTAAATATGTTTCATGTTGAGCGCTGCCCAATATGGACACCAATGCTCTCGAAAGAAAAAGAAAAATCATCTCTAAATGGTCGTATGATAACAGCTCTTTTCAGGTCAGTGAATTGTTGTTTTTATCCATATGAACGTATATCCCAATATGACCATATCATGATGCCATAATATGGTGGTTTCCTAAGTCATAGGGCTACCCCCAAATCATTCATCTCAATAGGATTTTCCATCAAACCACCCATCGTTGGTACTTTCCTAAGTCATGGCGGGTACCCCCAGTCCAATGCGAATTTTAGGATCCTAAAATGGACTGTACCATATTTCTGGCCAGATTTTCTAGGGATATTCCCTGAAAAATTGGCCTTACCCTCTGATAAACGTTTACATAGCTATTGAAAATGGCCCATAGAAATAGTTGATTTACCTATTAATAGCATGGTGGATCTTTCCATCGTTTTTCGTATGTTTACCAGGCCGGGTATATATGGGATAGTAATCTGGTAATAGCTACTGGTTGGTAAGCCCATATTATCAATTATAACCAGTAGCTATAGGTTTCCATATGTGAAATAGATTAATATACCCTCTGGTTATCACTAACAGTTTGCCATGGAAAGATCCACCATTTTTAAGCCACCAGGACACCTCTGTAGATCCTCCCCGGTGGTTGCTGCGGATGAAGGGACAGGAGGCGGGGCGGCCAAAAAGCTGGGAAGATCCCAGAAAAAAGGAAAAATCATGGGAAAATATTGGAAAATCATGGGAAAAAGGGAGTTTATAGCTGGAAAAAGATGGGAAACTCATGGGATATGGGAAAATCCACTCTCAGAGGGTCATAGCATCTATGTTCCATGGGGAGTTCCATCGGGACCCGGCATTTTTTCTTTGAAGTTTCAATGAGATTTTAGCCATCAAGCATATGGGGATATAATTGATAAATATCGAGAAAGTATGGTTGGTTGATGATTATCACTATTTTATGGGCATTGAATGATAAATATAACGGCGATATGATGGAATATACATAACCAGCAAGATGATACGTGTTGATTGGTTGATGATTCGTTGGGGAATTTGACTAACCAATGTATTGGGCATGATCAGAATTCATGGTAACACAACGTCCTTGTGACCAGTTGAATCCACTGGATTATGAAGTCTCCAGTAATAAGCATCCTGGATTATGATTTGACCACATGCTTATCCAGCATTAAGCATCTGTATTTCAAGTATTTTCCAAGGGATTATCAAATCGCCAGGTGATTTATCGCCTGCTTCCCGAACGATTGCGCCTGGCTCCCTTGCCAAAGACAAAGAGGTGGAGTTGGGGGTTGAAAGATAGCATGTTCAGTGGATTTCCTTGGGACCTGCATTAAATTGTGCAGAGTCTTTCTGTTGGCTACTTCATTTTAGTCTGTAGCCAAACGTGGCTGGAAAATCATCGAAGCAAATGAAGGTTTATGGCATCATCGAACTTCATGGAAACTGAAAATGGGGATGGAACCTTCATAGATATTTTTCCCAGTTGTTTTTGTTTCTCCCATATCATTGATATTCATTTATAGTAATGATATATGTAGATATGCAAAGAATCTTCCACGAATTCCCGCACCACAACTCGTTTCACGTGAACCGCGAACCGCTCGGGAAGGCCTCGGCCGCCAGAGGCGAGGTTTCTGGTGAATCATTGGGAAAAGCCATGGTTTTGTTGACTGAAATTGGTTATGATGTTATATAAAGGCGATGAATTGGCCTAGCTCGAAATATATATCATGGTATAACCGGGTTTTATTGGATATCTCACCATCGGTTTTAAAAACTGCAGTTTTAACATGTGGTACTTCAAAGATTGGGGAAATTGACCGGAGATGAGGGGGATTTAAGCCATTTAAGCCGCAAATGCGGACATAGCCGATCTAACTTGACCGAAGAATTGACGAATTTGATGCGTCCATTGGTACTTGTTTGATCCATCCCCAGATGTGCGGGGCAGCAATCATGTTGGTGACGATCTTACGACTTCGCTGATGGTTACACTTTGAGTGTTTTGAAAATCTCCAAGTTTAAGTTGATTCGCGTTGCATATTCTCATGTGCTGGTGATGGGCCAGGCAGATGATGCTGAGCCGCCGGATGCAGACGTGATGGGGGAGATGACTGAAGAAAACGCAATGGCAGATTGAGGTCAGCAGTTTTTCTTGTCGTTTCAGATCCAGATTTTGGTTCAAGGGAATCAAAGAAGGCTTGGTCACGTTGGTTTTTGTTGCCTCTGCTGTTGCATGGTTAATGTGCGAAAATCATCATGCTTGGCCGCAAAGCGGCAGCGATGGATCAGTCGTTGAGGATTTGGTCGCTGCTCCATGTGGATTTAATGTACAAAGATTCTGGTCATATCTCAACCAGGGAGGCGGTGGGCTGTTGCATTGGCCAAGTCAAAATGGGTGGCTGTGGTGGGAATTCGGTTTTTGACCGGACAGACCCGCGTTCAATCCTTTCCGTCAGGTGGTATACGCACCGTTAGTACTCCAGTGGTGGCTATCATCGTTCGGTTTCGCTTGTGCAATTCTTGTAGCTGTAAAGTACCCCCTATCGCATCCCATAGAATACTGATCCATTTATATAGTTAGTTGATATGTATCTATATATATATGTAGATATATATATATATGTACATACACATTCCGAGTGCTATTCAACAATATTGAAAATATTTTGAGAATATTCCCAATAAACATGCCCCTGAGATGTTTGACTTGGCTCATGATCCCAATGCATCTAGGAATATTGATATCAATCCAATTATTTCATCAAAAACAATCATCTAAACTGTTTCGGGATGAATATCCCAATTCCCAATCGGAACAATGTCTGGAAATCGCCTTAAATGTCCTTAAATCTCCTTGACGACTCCCTAGCATCCTATTGATTTTCTTTCCTCAATAGTAAGAAGATAAGATTCAATGTCCCAATGTCGCACGAGTCCATTTGTTTGTCATCCAATCTGAGATAGATATCCAATTTTCAATGATTGGAGCTGTGATTTCTTGGATATCAGAGTCAATTATTGACATTCCACGGGCTATGTCAATGATCCAATCCGATTCAGATATGGCGCTTTCTGACAAAATGAGGGATCCCAAGTCACCATAGCTTTACTCAAATGGTCAACTTGGGTGATGACTGAGGCTACCCCCATGACTTTCTTAGGAACCCCCCCGGAGGCTTCGCCTTGGGCTGCATCTGTTTGGGTCAGGGCTCCGATGCCCCTGGCTTGGCGGATCTGCAGCACCTTGGAAGGTAAAAATGGAGGAGAAAAACCACGGAATTTACTAGGAATTTCAGGATATATGATATGAAATAAATATAATATGTATAATATATATATACATATATATATACACATATATATATATACATATATATATATATACATATATATATATACATATAATATATATATATATACATATATATATATATGTACATGTATATACTGATCTGAATGGATATTATGGATAAGAATTTAATCATTGTTTGGATATGAATAGTTAGGGTAGATATGGATAGAATGGATATAGATATATAGATGGATGGATGGATAGATAGATAGATATGGTATGAAATGCATAAGATATATGCAGTGGTTTATATTTAATGATTTCTGGCCATACTCATTAAATGAATATAAATGGTGGTGTAGCTGTATATGACCAACTAATATAGAAGGATGATTCCTAGAAGACGGGGCCGGGGCTTGAGAACCCTGGATACCTCGGGATGAAATCCAGGGGCCAAGGTTGGACACCTGGTTACTGCGTGGGGCAGCCCGGCTGCGGATGAAAATCCAACGATGCGCCGGGGAAGCTGTTCGCGGGAGCAGGTTGCCCGCTTTTAGGAAGATATCAGACCTGCAGGGGCAACCACACTTTTTTCTGCGGGATCAAGCGGGTCCAACAAATTCATTGGACGATCAATGACAAGCCCATTTGTGGCTTTGTTTGGCAGGCTACCATTCCATCCACTGGTAGTTGCCACCTTGGGGTAGATCCCATTTTCAGACCCCAACAGTTTTTCTGGTTGTAGACACCCAATCTCCCCACGCTCAAACCTCCAGGCTACATCTTGGGGGGGCCGGAGATGCCATTGCCAGGTGCAGATTCTCCAAGCTGGTCGCTCGAGTTGGTAACATCTTGGAGCATGGCTTTATAAACTTTAAAGCTACCGGAAATCAATGGAAATCACTTTTTAATCCACCTTTAAAAAATGTTCAGCAACAAGGTGTGAAGATCCCCAAGTCCCATGAATCCCTGAACGCCAGGTGTTGCAACGAGAGAGACCCAGCGACAGGCGAAACAAGTGACGCATGGTTTACTGAAAGTGACCCATATAGAGGGGTTTCCTAAGTCATAGGGGTACCCCCAGTCATCATCCATTTATAGATGGGGAAAAATCCCTTATAAACCATCCAGCTATTGGTACCCCATTTATGGAAACCCCCGTGTAGTGAGGATTTCGCCATGGCTGAGAAGGAACATCCATATGGTTTTGTCAATGGGATAACCTAAAATTGATGATGTATCATCATTCCATATGATTCCTATCAAAGTAGCCATTTGATGGTATCCTATGTCCAGACCCCATATCACAAAAATCTGTCATGTGGAGCCAGGAGAGCACGTGTCAACTCTGGGAGCCCGAGGACTGCATTCCAACCGCGTCCAGCCATTTATCCAGGGCCCTGGTTGAGAAGTATCTGCGAAAAAGAAACTGGGAATTGTCTAGAATTTTCTGCCGGAAATGCGGAAGATGCCTAGCATGATAGATTCGAATCCAGTATGGATACAAACTCCCCATTTAGATGAAAAACCATGTTTTAGATTTTCATGAATTTCGATCAGTGGAAAGATGGCAGATGAATCTTCCCTTGCCGCCCTCCATTCGCAGGGCATCAACACCTGCGTCACCGCACCAGCGGGCTGCATCGCTTTGGCCTTGGTCTTCCTGCGTGCCCGGGATGGTTCATGGGAATTCCCAGCGGGAACAATGCATTTTATGATGTGAATAAAGGGATATTGATGGGAGATTGATGTGGTGAAATGGCACAATGATATACAATGATATACAATGATATACAGTGTTCTCTGTCGAAGTGATTTGGGAGTCTTTGAAATTTCAAGTCGCAAGTTCAGTTTGACATCGAATGGCAAATCCTCCAAGTTTTCCTCGACCAGGTACCAACTGCGAAGCTGTGGCATCGCGGGTAGCCATCCCACAGAATTTGCCGGGGGCGCAACTGTAAATCTGTGAGGGACTGATTTCTTTTGCCAGTTTTTGAAGGAAAATCTGTGTATTTGGATCAGAATATCCAGATATACAGAAAATCTTGGATCACAAATTATTTGGCCAAGAAAAAGACTGAAAAGATTGAAAATGGGTTTGAGAAAACGCCAAGGTGGCAATCCTTGAATTCACAAACTTTTCTGGAGCCCAACATCCAAGGTTCCACCTGGAGCAACTGCGTGGGGGGCCTCAATGTTTACTCGGGACTGGTTCATGTTGATGTTTTTTTTTGGTCTGAAGATGTGAGTTTTCTGATCTCGGTTCCACTGGAAACAGATGGCGTTGATTTCGGCCATTCTGCCGATGCTGAGCCCAGGCCCTGATTTCGCCTTGCTGCGCATCGTGGCAAAGAGTCTCATTCTGCCACTTGGGCTCCCTCGATTCCTTGATTCGTAGCCTGAGACTGTAACGTGGTGTTTACCCAATGCCATAAACCTCTAGTTTTCGAGGGTTTGAATCCCACCCATTTCTGGTGAAATTGGAATGGTTGATCATAGGGTTTACCTCCTTCGTATTAATTAACCCATATTAAGCCCACTAGAAATGCTATAATTTGATGATCCCTTTGAGGCAAAGCAAATGGGCTAAGGTGGTGTTTCCAACACCACCGGCTAAGGTGGGACCAAATCGAACCCACCAACGAATGGGTGGACAGGCTGCCCTGTTTGGTTCTGCTTTGCATCTACAAGTTTATCACCAACACCAGGTTAAGAGAGATCTCAAAGCCATTCTATCTTGGAAACCCTCGAGTTTCTCGAGAGGCAAACTCCGGCCTTCCTCTCCAAGCTGTCCACAAGTGGAGCTGGACCTCAACTCCGCGAGATCTGAAAATGTCAATCCCAAACCATGGGCTCCACAATGAATCCATGAGTTCTCCCAACAGAGAAATTGAGGCGGACATTGATTGGCTGCTGGTCACACAAACCAAGGCAGGAGTTGGTGCTTTCTGCATAGGATTTGGATGGTTGCGGTTGATCCACCAGTTGATAGATGGCAAACATCCCATATCCATTATCTATAGGCTTTCAACCATCCCAGGTGGTTCAGGATTTCATCCGGTGAAGTATCCAGGACCCCAGGACCCCAGGACCCCAGGACTCGGGTCAGAAAGGATTGCACATCGGCCAGGCGAATTTGGCTGCAGGCGCTAATCTCCAGCCACATGGGGTACGGATTTCATGGGATTTAGCCAACAAAAATGGGGCGTATAAACCAACAATAGTGGTAATATATCATGGAGATATCATCAGATATGTACAACTGTCACTTTGATTTTGAACTATCGAGTTTTTATCCACCTCAGAACTCCATGCTCACCACAATCTCCGGCAGGTGCCTGCTTGGCGTTGGGTTTGCGCTTTGCGGGCTCCTCCAATGAAGCCGTGAAGGAGTTGTTGATTGCCAGGCCTGAAAATCATCATCGTTTCGCCGCACATCAGATTGCCAGTATAGCAACCCCCAAAAAGGATGCCCAAAAGTGCTACAAAAAGGATGGTAGTTCAATGTTTTTTTGCCCTCATATTTTCCAGGTGTCCAACTTTTACTGGCATCTTTGGGGTTAGTCACTGTAGTGAAGCATGAGCATCGCATCTCCCTGCCAGGTTGCTGGGCTTCAGAGATGCCGTTCGCTCGGATGCGCACGTGGCATTGATGGCCTCCAAACCCACGCCAGGTGGGGACGAGCAAAGCCTTGAAAGGCCCATTTCGTTCGATAAAAAATTGTGATTTACCTATTGAAAATGGCGATGTTCGATAGCTATCTTATTTTGCCAGAGGGTAACTAACATGTTTCGAGGCTCACCTCTTGGTTACAATATGGGTGGAGAACTTCTGGAAGAAGTGTACCCAACCTCGATGGATAGTTCGGTAGGGATGGATCAAGACCATTGAGAGAAGAAGATCCACTTGCGGCTGGTTGGACGCCGTTCACTGAGGAACAGGGTTTGGACCAAAACCCATCATATTCGAAGATCACCCAACCACTAGGGGCATCACTGCCAAGCATCTTGTCGAACTCCCCATGTGATGCTTTACCAACTCTTGACCCAAATTCATGTTTCCCAGAGTTGGTTGAAGTTAGAATTTACCGGCTTTACCCCCAATCCATTGGTCATATTTGTTGATGATATCCCCGTAATGTTTGCTGATTTTCCCTGACCCTGCTGCTTTTAGAATCGCCATGGGAAATGGCCAGTTTAGTTCGATGATTTATGATGATTTAGGATTTTCAAAATGGTGGTATTCAAGCCACGTAAAATGACCAGAGGCTAAATCCATGTGTTGATGATATCCATCTGGCCAGTCCCCATCATAGGTATCATTTGGTATCCCATATTCCAATATTATCAATATTCTATCCCCATCCCAAAAGAAATATCCTATTGGAATATGATGCAGATATTGGAATCCCAATGGTTTCTATTCCAATATCCTATTGGGATCCCAATATCCTATTGTATTTCCATATGGTATCCCCATCCCCAAAAAGAAACCAGGGCTTGACTCTGCCCGCAGATGATGTGGATGCCATCACCCTGGAGACATGTCAATCCACCATCGCCTTAGCCCTGGGCATGGTCATGGCAGGTACAGGCGCGGATGTTTTGTTTTCATCGCAGGATGGTAAAATCCCCATGAAAAAGTGCTGATTTTACCATCCAAAAATGGGGATTCGATGTGGATTTAACCAGCAAAAAGTTGCAAAATGATGGGATTCTAATAGGATAACTTCCCATGATTTTCATGGGTGTGTAATGAGAAGATACTGGGAAAATCATCTAGTTGTTCAATCATGTTTGCTGGTGTGGTACTTGAAAATGAGGGGACTATAACCATTTAGTGGGGATATTACTGGGATATATGATATATATATTATATATATATAGCTTATCTAACCAACAATATTACTTGGGGTCGCAGTTGGGGTTATTTCTATGGCTATGTAATAGCTGGTTACCTTCTGGTAATCAAATATGGCGTGCTGCGAAATCCCCAATTTAGTTCCATGCTCTTGTCCGTTTTAAATGCGCATTTTGAAATGAGTTTCCCAGCCATGTTTGATGACCAGGTGGAAAATGAGTTCCTCCACAACCCGTCCACGGCCGTCGTGGCAGGTGATTTGGCAGCACTCCGAACGCTCAGAAGTTTGAGGAAGAAGACCTCCCTGGACACAGGCGAAGATTTTGTTGCTGGTCGACGTGGTCAACGGACGGGTTCGAAATGTTTTTGCGGTCATGGGTTAAGCTTGAGTAGTGGGGACTACATCATCCAGATTCATCTAGCTGACACTTTTCCTGTTGGGGATGGCAGGACGAGTGTATCCTTTTAGGATTGAGACTTTTTGGTTGAACATGGTTCCCAAAACAAGGCTGGCAGCCTAAGATCTCGACTTCTGAATGGTTTGCTGAACCGATGAATGTGGCATTATTGTTGGGCCATTTCAAAAAGGGGGAACAGTTTCTGTCGTCGCTTCAATTGATCTTACAATTCAACTTTCAAATACGGAAAATCGGAAAGTACTATTCTAGAATTCTGAATTCGTCACTAAATTAATCTAGTGAATATTGGATATCATTCATCATGAATCCCCTTCTTATCATCTACCGCAACCTTTGTCATTGGAAAGCCACGCTACGCTGGAGCGACCGCAGGTTACGGCGTGCACATGGCCACCCACATGGCCATTGGCTGGGTCTGTCTGGGAGGAGGCCGATACACCTTTGACCAGGCGCAATGGATGGGAAGAAGATCACCCGGAGCTTTCGTAAAAAGGGGGGGTTACCGGGGTTACCCCACAAAGTCAGTCATTTATGAATGGGTACCCCCATTTTTGGGTGATTTGTTGATCAACAAAAATGGTGTTTGAATGGGATTTTTGTGGGATTGGAAATGGTCTGAAATGGTGATTGAATGGGAAATGCCCTGTTGTACATTGACATAGCTATGGAAAATCAGCATGTTAAAAAACGGTAAATCATCGAACTGCCCATAGCCCATGGTAAACATCGATGTGTTGGTTTACTGGAGGATAACCCATTTGGCTAGTCTACCCACAATATCAATTACCCTCTGGTTATTTAAGATAGCCATGGAAAATTGCCCATTTATAGATGATGTTCCCATTAATACCTCCATTTATAAGGGATTTTCCATGGCTATGTTAAATAGCCAGATGGTATAGCTAATACCCATGAGTTCGATTTAGACCCATTGCTTATATTCTAAGTATTGCTGCCCAAAAATGATAGAGTTGGTAAAGTCCAATCCTAAAATAGTGATGAATTTAACTTTTTCTGCCTCGAGGGTTGCCATAGATTGATGGGATTGCTCCGAATCTCTTTGAGAAATATTATCAGGTATGTGTGGATTTTGTTTGGTTTTGACATTGACAGCAACAAACTAAAAGGGACGTCCTTGGAAGAAATATTCCCTTAAATTTGACTTTCTGATTCCTGTCATTTTTCGATGAATTGACGTGGAGATCTTCCCTAGTGTCCAAGTGATTCTAAATTATTTCATGTTAGCAATGTCATAAACCAGCTCTATTTTAATGGTTTATACCAGCCATAAACATGGTTGGAGATCACCGCAGGAGCCCCTGTCCATCGCCGCGCTGTTGATGGCCGCGTACCCAGAGGGAGGTGGTGTGCAATGGCATACTTGTGATGAGACTTAGGATTCCTTAAGCGCATTAGATTTATGAAGAGTTTCCAGATGTTTCCAGAGTGCGGCTGTCCTAGTTGCACCCTTGCAAAGTTGCAGTTCTAATTCTTGATCCAAGATCACTCAGATGTTTAATGTTGCATCGTTGCATCATTTCCCTACAAGCTGCCAGCTCTTGTCAGCTGAGGCTTCGTTTCCTCGTTTTCCTATGGGCCTGGTGGACAATCGATGCCACCTGCAGGTGGGGTGTTGAGGCCTCACTGATAAAGTCACCCACAGAAACCTCCCACAATTTGTGTTTTTTTTCGAAGAAATCTGTCCTTCAATTCATCTGCCATAGTCCTGCCACTTCCAAGATGAGCCCTCGAGGCCTTTCGCCATCTCTATGCCTTGGCAGCGAGGCAGAGTAGTTTCTGAGTGTTTCTGACAGTGCGGCTTTTTTTGTGCAAGAATGTGGCCTCTGGTTAAAGAAGTCTTGCCGTGCTTTGCAGAGCGTTTCTCAAGAGAAAACAGCATTAAAAGAAAGAAACACACTTGACCATGATTGCTTCAAGTATGAAATTGTGCAGGTGGTGTGCTAGGATCCTTCTGGAATACTCTTTGGTTGTTGTTGGCTGCTGGAGCTTGCTGTACCCCCACCGTTTTGGATGATCAGCATCGCTCAATATGATGGAACCCCCAAAACTTCCATTTCAATGCTTTGCAGCTTGATCGCTTCCAAACCATCCCGCCTCTACTTGGAGGATTATCGGCTTGGTAAGTGGATGGTAAGAAACTTATGTTGCTTAGTGCCTAAAATGAGGCTATCCCATTGGCTTGGCTTATCTCTACAAGTGTCATAGCTTTCCAGCCGTTTTACTTCACAGTTCATAGCTGTTCTCAACCATGGCCGCCTCATCCAGTGACCATGACACCCCACCACGGGTGTTCCTCTTGGATGGCGCTGCATTGCTGGAGAGCCGCCGCCGGCTAAGAGCAGGCAGAAATTGCACGCGGTGGGTCAAAATGGCTGGCTGGCGACTGCACGACGAAAAAAGATAGGATTTCACATGGTGGATGTATGGTGTAGAATCTGCATGTGGCTGTGGCGTCTTCAAATTTCGACAAGACTGCGCGGTTCATTTCAACAAGAAAGTGATTTTGCAATTTGCATGCCTTCTTGTGGTGCTAATATCCCCATGCCCTGAGTTTTCCACTTGATTGTTTCCCCCTTCCACAGCGCAAGGTGAGCCATGACCTCACATTCCACAGTTTATTGCCTGAAATCTCCAAGATCAGTGATGTTAGATTCTGTTAGATGGTTTACCTAATGCTTTGCGTATATTCGCTCGATGTTGGTGGTCTTTTTTGGCAGGTTATCCAGTTGCAACTCCTTTCCCCACAGAATCACAGCGCCCATCAGGCGACAAGTCCTTGGAGGCTCCGTTGGCGCGGCTGCTGAAAGATGCCGACGAAAAGCTGAGCGCCGGACCGTTCTCGGTGACGGCGAAGAAGAGCCCGCCGCCCAGTGGCAACCTGCACGACTACTGCCCCTTGGGCTACATCATAGGAATTGCATTGTTGCAAAATGGAAACCTCATACATGGCCAGCAAGGGGATATCTTGTGAAAATAGCTGGTTGATGGGCTGCACGGGATTGCAGCTTTATTTGCATTGTGGCCATTGAAGAATAGGGGGTGCGATTCGTCAATTGTCTAAGCCACTGAAAATATTGACCGTTGATCAGACATTGTCATTCTGTTTGCAAAAGTGTTGTTTTTTTGACAGGGATAAATGTTTGTTTCTCAGAAAGTCGCAGCGGTGAACCCAAGAAAGCCGGAAACATTAGCGCCAGGAGCTGGAGGTATGGGGACTGCCACAGAAGCAAGGGGTTCCAACGGATTTGGAGGATCAGATTCAGAGTGAAAATCCCATGAGCGAGCCAATGCTAGAGTCGGGGTTCCACGTTGGTCTTTTGACAGAGACCTTCCCACTTGCGGACAACATCATTTTCACATTCATGCAACTTCGCATTCATTCAACCGCGCAGTCACTCAATCTCACGGCCGTTCAAGCTCAGGGCCACTTCACGTTCATTCATCTTCAAATGCGCCCGACCTCACACTCAATCAACCTCACATTCAACTTGGCATTACCAAATCTCGCAAACAGCATGCCGTTGGTGGAAAGTAGAGGTGGAAAGTAGATTAAGTAGATTCTGTGTGCAGAAGGTGCGCGTTCATGTTCGAACTGCGTGCAAAGAAGCGTTACAGGTGACTCTTGCTTTGTGTTTTGCACCTGCATGGTGACTTGTGCAGTGGAACTGCCGTCAAGATTTTTCACACTTCATCCGGGACATTGGTCAATTCTGCTGCCGTAGTTCGTTGATTGGTTGGTATTTACGTGGATTCAGAAAACGAAGCTTTAAGCACATACCAAACTACACGAAGATGTCATTGGATGCCTTGGCTCCCAACCACTCACATCATGTCCCAAGCAGCTTCCGCATCCTGAAAGGCAGTGTGGGGCCCTACTGGTGGCCAGATCCTAGCAAGCCCGATGGCTTGCCGTACATCCGAAAGGATGGACACAAGAATCCGGAACGTGGGAAGATCGGAGACTCAGGCCTGAGCCCGGTTTTTTGGGCGGGGATTGGCGGGGATTGATCAATTCGTTGCCAGAAGTCTTTAACCCCGGCCCCTGATACAGTCAGTCCCTGGGCATTTCAAGCTAGTATTAGACGGATCGGTTCATCTTAAATCCCTTATTGGTGTAATCAATGCTAGGGGGATGGGGCTGCACTCAGTTGTAGCCTTTGTTTGTTGCCCAAACGGAGCGCAGGAACCGAAACTTAATTTGAAGCATCGTAATGTTTTGCACACTGAGAAAGGTTGACGGTCTTTGGTGCCACGTTCAAACAGCACCCATGAACTTGTATCTCTGGATGCACATTTATTGTCTTTTCCTGGTGCAGGCACAAACCGACTGAGTCTTGTGTAAGTTCTTGTGTAGTAACAAGTCCGCCTAGCTTCTGGATCTTCATCATATAAGTCAAACAGGCTTGCAGGGAATGAATTTAAGCAATTCATCAGAACTTCCGCAGCAGCACAGACAGACATGATCCTATAACATGCAAAGCAACTGCAGACCTTCACCCCAAGTTTTTGTATCTTCAACACTGAGCCACCCAAGCTTGCGGACTACAGGAATCTTCTTGAGTCATACCCACATGAGCTGAATGGCCATGCTGCAGTTTCACCCCCTCCGCCATGTTTTAGGGATCAGGCGACCTGCAACTGTCCCTTGCTAAGCATGGAAGACTCGCGCTGCGAGGTGGAAAGCATCTTGCAGGGCTTGTTGGTTCAACGCAACGGTCTCCCACGGGAATGCTGGGCCCACTTTCTGCAGATTATTGGTGGCACAGAGCAGGAAGCACGTGCACTGCTGCAGGGCCAAGAGCCCCAGATCAGCGTGAAGCAGTTTTTAGACCTTCTATTTGAGCCAACACATGCCATGTCGGCCGTCGTGCCGAAAGGACAGAAAAGGGACAACACCGCAAGGACCAATGACTTGAAGGAATACTTCGAGACACACTACCGCGCAGGAGGTGAGTTTTGCCATTCTGACTATTTTGTTTTTGGTGATGCTGAAGATTGGACATGGATGCATAGACCCACTGAAATTCAGGTGTGGCGTGATGCCATTGACTTGTCTTCGGGTCAGGATGGGCAAGTTTTTTTCCACTACACGAGTGAGCCTGGATTCCGAAACATCACGCACCCAAACAAGGAGGCAGCTGAGATTTGGGCATCTGTAAGAACGGAAGGGCCAAACGCCAATACCTGGTGGGACAAGGGCATCTATATTGTCTGCTTTCCTCCCGACCATTGGCAAAGTCGTGAGCTGCTAAACAACCACTTCCGCAACATGATGCAGAAAGACGAAGATAGTGAAGATCCACAGAAAGTTCCAGCATATACGAGGGGGGCCTTTTGTGTCCCCATCCTCATCGATCCGGTCAACGCCTTTGATGTGTCAATTAAAGCACTTCCAGACATGGAGGCAGCCGGGAAGGAATCGGTTGGGAACAGGCTCTTGAAGGAGCCGGGAAAGCTTCCTTGCTGCAGCGCAGTGCTCCAAGTCTCTGGTGAAGATAGCGTTCAAGATGCACGTGGACAATTGCTGGAAACCCTGCGCCGCCGCGCGTGCTTCGCACCTGCGGACTTGGACGCCAAGTCCAGGCTCGCCTGGGTACTGCGAGCGCGTGGCTTCTCTCAAGAGGCATTGCCTTTGGCACAAGAAATACTGGCACTTTGTGAATCAAGACATGGTCCTGAGACCGCTGAAGCTTTGACATGCCAGAGCATGCTGGCCAAAATCTTGTTCGATCTGGGCAACTTTTGTGAAGCTGAGAAGCTGCATCGACGAGTCCTTGATGCGAGGACGAAGGCACTTGGTCCTGAACACAAAGAGACCGTCTCCTCCATGGGTGAGTTGGCTGTCACCCTTTTTGGCATGAACAATCCTAGCAGTGACGCTGAAGCTGCTGAGTTGTATCGTCAAGTTTTAAGCTTCCAAGAAAGGTGGTTGGGTACCAGTCATCCTGCTACTTTGCATACAATCACTAACTTGGCTACTGCCTTGGCAGACATGGGCAACCTTGGTGAAGCGACGGACTTGCACCGCACCGCTTTGGAGGCAAGAGAAAAGACATTGGGCCCTGAGCATCCTCAGACTTTGCAGTCTGTCAGCCATTTGGCAGCGGCATTACATGTTAAAGGTGGGCTGCGCGAAGCTGTGGAACTGCAAAGGCGCGCTTTGGAAGCCAGGGAAAGGCACTTGGGTCCTCAACATCCAAGAACCCGCAAATCCCTCCAGCGGCTTGAGTCAATACTGTGTGACATGATTAACAAAAGGGGGGAAACGCCAGGTGAATTTGTGGAATCGTGCCGCAAACTACTAGCAGCCAGGGTAAAGATTCTGGGCTTGCAACATCCAGATACGGCGGCGGCCATGGCGGTTTTGGCGCTCACTTTGACTGGGACTGGCCGCAGCACTGAAGCGGCTGAGTTGAATCGTCAGGTCGTGGAAGTGAAAGAAAGCAGCCTCGGCGTTGACGACCCCGCTACTTTGAGCGCGATCAACAACTTGGCTAGCACGCTGGCGGACATGGGCAATCTCCCCGAAGCAATAGACTTGTACCGCAAAGTTTTAGAGGTCAGGAAAAAGAGGTTGGGTCCAGAGCACCCGCAAACTTTGCAGTCCGTCAGAGCTTTGGCAGTGGCATTGCATGAAAGACGATACGTTTGAATCAAGGTGCCACGGTCAAGTCTCTGCGTTCTGACAAACACCGACAACCTTCTCCAGCATGTTGGATGACATGGGCAACACACGTGAACCTTCAGCGGATGCGAATGGAAATGGACCCCTACGAAAAAGTTGACGACGCTGCGGTGCTGGCAATGTAGTAATCTTTCTAAACTGATAAACGACAATGCATCATGCTGCTTCGAGATGGCTTCACCGCTCGCGAAAAAAAATCCGGTCCGCGCGCGATTAGGCGAAAGATCCAACAATGATCCTAAACTTGCTGTGTAGCGATGGGCCCTGCTCAACTCAGCCACAGGCCGTTTCGCCGCTATGCAGAAAGCAGCCCTTTGGTCAGCAGCGATTTTTCTAGGACCATGCAGGAAGCCAGGGGCCAACTACCGAAGAGGTATTCAAGGGCCATTGGCCCATGTTCATGGCCAAAGCCCAAAGTCAGTATAGAATAGATGAAATGATAGCTCATTCTTGCTGCCATGGGTTTTGTCCTTGCTGCCAGCAAACCATCTGTTTTTCACCCACTGGCTCAAAAGTTTGGGGCAGTTTTTCTCCCAGCTTCCTTTGAATAACGGATGAGCTTCCAAAGCAAAATACATTCACACAGCCACCCAGGAGTTCTTAGCTTAGAGCATTGTGCGTACTGCTTAATACCCAGTAATTTGTGCCAGCGCTTCTCCCGCCGAGCCGACATTCTCAGGTAATCCCGCTGTGCTACGCTTGGTTCTTCAGGGGCCGCGAGGACTATGCTGAGCACGCCACCAAACTGCTGCGCACCTGGTTTCTGGACCCTGCAAAGAGGATGAATCCTCATTTGACCTATGCCCAAGGCACGGGGCGGCGGTGGGACCATGGCAACCAGGAGGTTTGGGCCAAGGTCTCCGGGCATGCGACAGCATTTTCAGCATGGACATGATACTTTCTTCCATGCGCTGGTGCGGAAAAAAAAGGCTGCACTGGCAGGGACAAGATTCACACGGGTTAGTCGGTTGGTCTATTCATTGTCTAGTTGGGATCATATTTTCTTCCAAAAAAAGATGCCATTCAACCTCACATCTTGGCGCCAAATCATTTCAAGCGGCGGTTAGAAGCTGCATAGTCCAGGTGTCCCCGGACAGTGTGACGGCCGCTGCTACGGCATCGTGGATTCCGCTAGGCTGCCAGAGCTGGTGGATGCAGTGGGGCTGCTGATAGGCAGCACACGCTGGAGCTCAGATGACCATGCAGGACAAGCTCCTGGAAAAATACGATGTGCATCATCCACCTTTTATGGCACCCGTTTCGGATGCAAGGTAAATTTCTCAGTCAGTTTCTTACTTGATTTGTAGCTGGGAGGGTTGGCAGAGCAGGTCTTGGTTTGAATGCAAGGCTAAGCATTAAGCTGCTTCTGACGCATGGTTTTGGACAGAGGCAAAAACGCTTCCGCCATGTAGGGGCAGCTCGCCATGGATCTCCCCAAACGCATCTTGATCTTTCTTTTGCATTATTCACCTTTTCGTTGTCAGAAACAGTACAGCGCTGCTTGTCAAAGAGACACTTACATTGTCTGGTGCAGCATAACGATCCCAAATAGGCCGGTATGTTGTGCATTCACCTATCAGGGAATGGTTGCTGCCCAGCTTGTACCATCCTGGTCTGTCCGTAGGACTCGTCCACTGGTTCAATGAATTCTTGGAGTGGCTGCAAACTAGCAAAAACGGCCGAGAAGAAGAGAATACCAAGAACAACCACGCAACCCAATACGAGCCTTGGCACAGGTCGTACGTTGGACGAGATTCTTCAAGCTATGGTAAGCTCCAAGTATCGGATTGCTATTGTTGAAAATCACCTAGATCTCCACCCATGAATTTTCACCCCCCCTCTGATACATACTTGTAAGAATGATTGCCTGCGAGGGTTCTCCAAGGGAATCCAACGCTGTTCATCTTCAGGCTGCACAGGTCCAGGCACCAAGGAAATTAGAAAATCACAGATTTGATGAAGGCTTGAAGTGGGATGTTTTCCACGAATGGCCGCCTCCGTGACGGTTTGATACTGAGGATGTGCAGGTGGTGTCTTACGCAGTTTCGGATTTGCTTCAGCGGTTTTACAGCATGTTGTTTAAGGGGCTTTCTCATTGGATATTTCGTGGGTTTGTGCTTTGTGACCGGACTTCCCCACATGTCTCAACTTCTTCCATCAAGGACCAAGCACCTGCAAAAATACGGATGGGCAGGCAGGAAACGGGAAGGATAAGGTGGAAGACGGATCGGCAAAGAAGACTGCGTAAGGTAGCGCATGTACTGCATACATGGGTAGGCATGATTGACCATCGTTGTATGTACCAAAGTTGCGTGTGAATGAATGTTGTGGGACAATGTGGTGTGTGACAATGAGTATGTGTGTGTGGCGATGTCACACCTGCCGCTTAAAAACGCCATGGCGTCGCCAAGAGCCGTAACACGCCTGCCACACAAAAGTTCCTTGAACATCTAAAACACCAGCAGCCAAGGCCACCCAGCAAGCCGCGGCGCCAACCATGCAAAAGCTCCTTCCCATTTGGAAAACGCCGCGACGTCACTGCAACCAAGGCGGTCCACCCCATCCAACGAAGTGCTGCAAGTGCCATGCCTGCCTCGCAAATGGCACGCTGCGCGTCGTGTGTGACAAAGCTGCATGGCCCAGACTGTAAATGCCACGCCTGCCACACAAGAACCTCCCGCCTGCCACACAAAAGGCCGCCAAGTGCCTTAAATGCAACGCGTGCCACGCAAGAATGCCGTGAGTGTCACCAAGCGCCATGTCACCAGATGCCACAGCAGCCCTTCAAGTGCCGCCAATCCGGCGATATTGTGCGTGACAAAGTTGTGTGCGTGCGTGACGGAGTTATGTATGACAGATGTGTATATGTGACAATGCTATGTGTGACAGTATGCGACAACTGCGTGTGTGTGTGTGTGACACTGCAGTGTGTTACAGAGTTGTGTGACAATGTTTTGTCTGACAGAGCTGTGTGTGCGTGACAATGTTGTATGTGGGTGTGTGTGTGTGTGAAAGAGTTGTATGTGACAAAGCTGCGTGTGTGCGTGTGACAACGTTGCATGTGACGAAGTTGTGTGTGTGTGTGTGCGCGCCAATGTTTGTGTGAGAGGGTTGTGTATGGCAGAGTTGTGTGTGTGAGAGAGAGTGTATGTGACAATGCTGTGTGTGTGTGAAAGAGCTGTGTGTGAAAGACGTGTGAGAGAGAGAGAGTGAGAGAGAGCGCGAGTTGGGTGTGTGAAAAAGCCTTGTGTGTGTGGGAGGCATTGCTGTGTGTGCGCGTGCGTGTGACAATTTTTTGTGTGACAGAGTCGCGTGCGACAAAGTTCTGTGTGACGGCTTTGTGTGTGACAGCGACGGGGTCGGAGAGGAGGAGTAGAAGGTGAGATGCAGAAGGGAAGAACAAGAACCCCACACAATGGGGCAGGGAGCTTGTGCAAGTTAGGATGATTTTTTGGAAAATTATTGTTTGGGTCTGCTTTGGGTTGCTGCAATATTATTACTAAGATGATACTGGATGTGTTAAAGTTGAAAACGCACCATTTTCCGGGCCGCACACCCCAGGTAGTCAAACGTGAAAGCTTTTGCTCAGCCGAGGCCCTATTTGTGGACAAGCCAGAGATCGCGCGGCAAGTGCTGCAGCGGGTGCCCAAGCGCCGGATCGCCACTGGGTGCACGACATTTTTCTAGTGTCAATTGTCTGCGCCTGTGGGCATACGGTTCTTCAAGTTTACGTGAACAGAGTAATGAAAATTGTCAGGGCCTAAGCCAGTTTCCTCCAGCCAGAGTCAAAACTTTGATGCTTCGTGTTCGCAACATGCCCACATGTCCGAGTCTTGGAGAGCCATGACTTGCTATGTCCCAGGACAGCCAGATCCGGCCGGATGGTTCGCAACCACAGGAGATCAGTAGAGAGAACAGCTGGGACTACAGCTGCTACCGAGCTGCAAGTGATGATTTCATGTCCTAGAAGGCTTAACTGGCCAGGAACAAGGCGTGAGAAGTTTGTTCTGTCTTCGCATTCAGAATCCAAAATTTCACGAACAGTCCCATCGGGCTTGGCGCAGATATTCGAGCGGGCCCTAACCAGGCGAACCCCACGTGGCATGTCACAACAATGTGAGGCTACAATCTGAAGCATCTTGCACAACTCGCCCACCTGGGACAGCATGTGGACGTCAATTTGTGGGCATATGAGTCTTGGCAAAAGGGCGGTGCCCCATTTTTCGTGAAGAATAGCAAGGGTGTGTTCGCTAGACGTCGCGCAACCGTCCGCAACCGTTTGCAACCGTTCGCGCGAGGGCGATATGGCCGTGCCTCTGGCGAGTTCTGCAAAAGTTCTCAGCTTTTGGAAGTTTCATAGGTCGTGTAGCGCAGGCATAGCATTTTGCGACACTTCCACATGTTTCATGATGCCCCCAAAATGGTTTTGTGTGGCGGGCGCAATACTTTTGCATTGTTTTCAGAAGATGAGTTGCATTTTTCGTGGCAAGCGTAGCACTTTGGAGACCTCCATCGTGGCTGGCACAACACTTTAGACGTGTGCTGTTGCGAGTTTTCTGCGAATCGCATCGTCAGGTCTGCGTCAAGTTGTGACAACGTGCAAATTCCATGATAGGCAGGCGTTGCATTCTGTGATATGTGATGAAAATTGATGGAAGCTTCGCATGACACATCGATTCTGAGGTCGTAGATTGTGGAGTTCATGAAAAAACTCGTAGGAAAACGTCGATTTTGAAGCAGCAAAGTGTGAAAAATTGAGGAAGTCTCACAGGAAACGCTCGTTTTGATGCTCCAACATGTCTCGTCTCGATTCTCAGGTTTCTTGTAGCGTCGCTATGTCTATGTGGGGGAAGCTGCAAAACTCTCATCCTCAAAGGTTTCAAAAGAGGTTTTGATGTCGTTTTGCCTGGGAGGCTTCTCACGTGTCTGAAAACGCGGCGACATTCGTTCTGCGTGAGCTGCATCGTGTGCTGTTGCGTGTTTTTTGCGAATCGCAATGCCAGGGCTGCGTCAAGTGGTGCCACCTGCAAATTCCGTAGCAGGCGTCGGACATGGTAAGAGTGTCGTTTTGCGTAGCAGGCGAAGTATTTGCTGCAGATCCCTTGTGTGTGGTATGCCATTTTGCGTGGCAGGTGCAGTATTTCGGACACTTTACACTCCACACTCTCACTTTACACTCCACACATTTGGCTTTACATTCCACACTCTACACTTTACACTCCATACTTTTACTCCACACTTTACACTTGTTGCTCCACACTCTACACCTCACACTTCAAAACCCAGACTTTACACTTTACACTCCACACTTCACAATCCCCCATTGCACACCCTACTCACTACATTCCCCACTCAGCACTCCACTTTCTTCACGCTCCGTACTTTGCACCCCACCCCATTCCACTGTAGCACTGGTACGGTAACAGGGGAAAAATGTACAAGACTGTTCAAATAATTTGTTTCACAAAGTGCTCTACGTGACTGCATTCGGGTTCGTGGGCAGCATTTTGTTTTTTTAGACTTGGGAAAGAAGTTTAGGGGCACAGAAGTGAGTGAATTTGAACAGAGCTGCTGTTTCTTTCGTTTTGTCAGGAAAAGGACGGGCGGAGCATCAAGCAGGCCATCAACTATCTCTTGCCGTATGCCTCCGGTGAAGGCACCTGGCCGCATAAACAGCTGGCTGCATTGGAAGGCTTCCGCTTGCGCGACGCACTGGTGGCAGCTCCCGTGGAGTTTGGCTGGAGCCCATTAGCTTTTAAATTCTTGCAGAAGTCAGCAGTGGAGAGGTTGCTATATCCCAAGGGCTATGGAGAACAAGCGGATTGAAAGTGTTCAAGCTGAAAGCCATCGGCGGGGAAGGTAAAGGCCGCTCCGTACAGTGAGGTCGCTGACAAGACTATTGACAAGCTTCAGCTTGGGCAAGGAGGATGTCCTGAATATGGGAAAGCACATTCATAGCTGACTGCGGGAAGATAACTAATCTGGAGAAGCAGGTGACAAGCAGCCCAGACTTCTGACAATGGCTGGAAAAGGTTTGCTCAGGGGACTTTCGCACACTATTCTCTAGTCAGGCGAGGCTTAAGAATATTGGTTTCAGACCAGACATGATGTGAAGCAAAGCCTTCGCAAACACCGACCGTCGTGCCATTTCACCCTTCCCAGACTGCGGTCCCCTTTGATCTTTCAAAGGCCAGATCAGCTTCAGGTTGGGCCAAGACTGTTGGGTCCTGTTTTCTTGCCAGGCACCGCTGCATCGAGGCAGTTGAGGCGCGAATTGAAAGATTTGGGAAGTAGGAAACCAGTCCCTGCTGTTACAGCATTATCTTTGATTAGGAAAAACCTGCCACGAAAACAACATGAAGAAACCCGTTTATTGACAATCAACTACACCTGGCAAATAAAGAACGTTATTTTGTTTCCTCATCAGGATAACATCAGGATAGCAGGTACTTGTACCCCATCACTCGAGGTCGAGACATTCATGGTTGGGGTATTTCATCAAGAATGAAGGACAGCTAAGCAAGCAGATGAGGATATTCATTAGTAGGTGACTTCTTGAAATTTATTTCGAATGTTTTTGAACCATGTGTTTATCCATATACCCATACGCGTGGCCGGTGGCTCGTGAATGCCCCCGCGTCTCTCAAGTTTCCTGTCACAGGTGGGCTCTAAGGAGCCGGTGCATGTCCATGTGGCGCTGCAGACACGGAAGGACGACGGGCAGCTGGAAGCCCCTGAGACTTTGCTGTTTCCGAGGCAAGGGTGAAAGTCAAAGGTGTGAAACTGGAACTGTTGGTTTTCCTCCAAGGCTCAACGCATACCCGTTTGGTTGAAAAGTTGTGGCAATTGAAGCAAGCACCAAGCTAATAGCTAACCCACACTTGCCAAATAGAACGGAGTGAAGAGCAAGAATACTTGACATGTCCTGCCCCAGGCTTCTGCTGGCTTCCAGCGAGGTGCGACGGGGTTGATAGCGGCAAGTTGTGAATTGATACTTCCATGGAATGAAGTAAGGCTCCAGGGCAAGCCCGGTGCTGTGGCAATCACACCTCTCGAGGTTGTTATGGAGGATTGGGTTTAGTTTCTGTTGCTGACCATTGCGGTTTCCATTCAAGTTTTCTCTCTATCGAGAGAAAGCGTGCACAGCAAGTGTAGGGATGTCAATGCCGCTTGTCGCCAGATATCCATAGGACACGCTGAACCCAGCCGCCCGCTTTTCCTGGCGAGGTCGCTTCAATTCGCGTCAACAGTGAAGGTTTCTGGCCTGTGACCATCAAGCGCGCCGAGCCAGGCCGAGGGAAACACTGGGGCTTTAAGAATGCCTAGTTCCTTTGCTGGTCCATGGTTTCAGCTCAAAATTTGGATTTTTGAACCGGCTGTATCACATGATCCATAGATGTTTAGAAAAGAAACGTCCCTGTTGCTGAGGTTTACGGAGTGCGAAAGTAGAGCATAGAAGAGAAGACAGAAGAGAAGAGTAGAGCGCAATAGAAAAAAATTGGGTAGCTTTGGGCAGGGCAGAAAAGAGGAAGGTAGGGTAGAGCAGGGTAGAGTAGAACATTCAATCGCCGTTTGTTCGGGGGGGAGCCTTGCACGAAAGCTTTGTTTTCACAGCTTCAACTTGCATTTTTGGAAGTCTTACCCGAATTGCGTTTTAGAAAGCTAATCTATGATAGCATGTGGACGAAATTCGGCGCTTTGCAACACAAAATGCACCTTCCAAGCAGTCCAACCCAGCGCAGACATGCTGTTGGGAGCAGTCTGCGGGCATAGCGCCAACATCGCCTGAGCAGTCTGTTGCGGACAGCATGCTCTTAGGAGTGGCTCTGCATTTCCATCGCGCCTGCAACTGCGGCCCAAGTTTTGCAGGAGATCATGTGTTGTTGACGAGCTGGGTCATACCAATGAAAACAGAATCTAGGCGGAAGGCCGCATAGCCCAACAAGGCTCGTGACAACAGATCTTGGACGTTGGGCAAGGGATGTCACAAGAGAAAGAGCTGCTAAGAAAAGAGATGTCTTGTGAAAATGATGTCAAGAAAGATAGAGGGATAGAGAAAGAGAATGAGAGTGAGATGCGCAAAGATAGAGGTGATAAGAAGAAAAGATGACACGAAAAAGAGATGCCATAAGAAACAAGTGCCAAGAGAAAGACATTTCAAGAGACAAAGATGTAAAGGGACAACTGAGGCAAGAAAAGGAGGTGTCAAGAGAAAGCGGCGGCATCAGATGACAAGAGCAAGCATTTTCATCGCGCACTACTGTTTTTGTCCTGTGGGCTCTTATCTCCTGAAACTTCTGCCCAAGGAGTGCCCAGGTATTTGCACCACTCAGAAAGCATAGTTGGCTGAATGGTGGAGGATGATACTGATTATCACCATCGTGATGATGATGAAAATGATGATGATAATGATGATGATGATGATGATTTAGCTAAACCCAAAAGGTCGCTGCGGCCTGTTTTTGAAGTTATTTAGACGTATTGAACGTGGGGGGGCGTACGGCCATCTGAGCGAGGGTACGGCGGGCGAACGGGGGGGGAACGGGGGGGCGAACGGGGGGACGAACCGGGGGGCGAACGGGGGGGCGAACGCACACATGCACACACGTACGCACATACGTACGCACAGACGTACGCACGTACGTTCGCACGTATGCACGTACGTAGGTACCATGTTCAGACCCATGTTCAAGCCCATGTTCAGACCCATGTTCAGAAATAAGGTTACCTTTGAAAAGTGACCTCCTAATACTAAATATGCTTTAGGAGGCTTAGGGTCGTACAGAAATAAGGTTACCTTTTATATATAACCTTATTTCTGAACATGCATGTGAACGTGCGTGCGTACATGCACATGAACGTGCGTGCGTGCATGCGTACGTACGTGCGTACATGCGTATGTGCGACCCCTTCGTGCGACCCCTTAATGCGCCCTCAAGGGGGTGGGCCCGCCCTCAAAATTGCACGGGTTTCGAATACCAACAACTTTGTACCAGTATTCTTGGGTTGTATAAGTAGGTGTAAAATAATTTCGGCACAGGTTGACTGTACTAATTATCACCAGGCAAAACAAGACTAGTCGAATCGTTCGCCCGTCCGCTCGCCCCCCCGCTCGCCCCCCCGCTCGCTCGTGCGGGCGACGTTCGTCCACCCGTTCGCCCGCATGTTCGCCCCTACGTTCGCCCCCCCGCTAACTCTTCGTGCGGTTTTCAACATATCCACGGCAGCGAGTTTTTGAGTTTAGCTAAATGATGATGTTGATTTTGATGCTGATGCTGATGGTGATCCAGCTTGAAAGGACCGGATCCCTCCAGTCATTGCAAGCCTTGTTAACCAACAAAGCTTTGGCAAAGGCACTGCTGCAGCTCGCTGGATGAAGGCGTGCTTTACGGGAGGTGTGAGTTCTATCGAACAGGCTAAGACTGCAGTTTGGGGCCAGGGATCATTGGTTTGGCATGCTTCAAAATTAGCTTTGGTGGGCAAGCCTCGTGGGCAAGGCGCTAACAAGATGAAGAAATCCATCCAGAAGAATTTCAAACGCATAATTCGTATGTTTTTACATAATGATGCTTGTCGGAATTTTGCTTATGTTAACCCCTGCTTGGGTGACTTTAGGAATGACCTAGCAACTGGGTGGGCATTTGCTGAGGCCGTGGAAGACACCCGGCGCCTCTATGTGAAACGAGCCGCGCCTGGTGCAGGGTGCCCTTAGTGGTGGAATGCCATCAAGTGAAGGGTGCTCGCCAAATACGAATCTGTTTAGGGCAACACACCCGAAACCAGTGCAATCACGGACATAGAACGGTATTTGCTGGCTTTGGCCCTGTGCCGCAAGCGGCATTCTGAACATATTGGTCTGGGATGTTTTGACAATGCGATTAGTGTTGGCAAGATTTTTGTGATGAGATTTTGCCCGCTGTTTGCCAAAATTTTAGTCACTTGGCAGGCAGAGCCAACTGGGATTGGGAGGCTCACAGGCAGGGCGAGGGGAGCAACACTTCGCGGGTAATGCGTGTGCTCAATTTGTTTTTCATGTTCAAGAATACCTTCCGGCTGAAATCCACCATGGCAGATAGGGTTGCCAAGCTTGCTTGCCTTGGAAAGCCCATCATGGCTCCAAAGTGAGAAACCACACCGGCATCCACAGCTACCTACACCCTCGGCCAATCTAATGGTGTGTTCTGAGTGCCTAATGCAGCGTGTGATCCATTGGCAGTTCCACTTGTAGGAGGGGCTACTTCAGTATACAGTATACGGTTGATTTGGAGGTATTAGTTGTGATAGGGGAATATTGCTTTGTTTGGTTGATTGTTATTCCTTTCCATAGTTCATAGGGCACATCTCCGCTCTCCCCTGGTACAGCATCAGTGGTGCTGTGTTGAAAGTTATTTTTTTAAGTCGTATGACACGGACGCGTACTAGCGAGCCAGGGGCAAACATGTCTCGTAGCCGTCCGGAAGGGGGAACCGACACAACAAGTTGAAGATCAACTGCAGCATGCACGCAAACGAATATACGATTGGATCTTCCCACAACCCGCCCATCTGTCGCATTCAAATCGTGGTTCCACAGGACCAAAGTGCATTTCGTCGCGAGAGACAGACTTGCCCGTCTGAAAATCTCATGTCTGGAACACTCACTGTCCAAGCAGCCAGGTGTGGTTTCCAACTTTCACAGCACCCGATGACAGCCAAGTGGTCCTGTGCTCAGCGAGGGCTTGGTCAAGACTAGAGCAGCGTAGGGTGACCAGCTAGGCCGGTCTGACATGATTTTCATTTGCTGAGGAACGTTTGGCAATGCCAAAGCTGACTTCAGGCGGTCAATTTGAAGGAGGACACCGAGATCCGATTTGCAAGGGATTTTGCGTATGCCATTATCCGGTGTCATTTGCATTGTTAGCTACTTGCTCTGCTTTTAAGCATGCAGTGCCAAGACTTTGGAAGCTGGAAGAAAAACTCATAGACCAGAAGTTACTTTAGGGGCCATGGCCCGCGCATTCGACCCTACATGACGTTGAGTGCTGTGAACTTTGTGGCGTGGTAAGAAACAAGTTCCATCCAGGACCCTTGCCGCCCAGTGCGTCGCAGGCTCTGGGGCTTCGGATGTGTTTCCATTCCACCTCTCTCCCCCATTGAAAATGATGATCCACGATGGCTTAGACTTTCACAAGGCAACTGCAGCTGAATGGGCTGCTGCTTTTTGTTGTGAGACGCGGCCACCCCTCCTTCCAGGCACGGAATTTTTTTTCGGTATTTCATAGGCTGTTTGTTCCCAACACAGATGGTGTTGCAGAGGCGCATGCCTGGCAGATTTCGACCAGCATGGCACCCTCGTGGAACGCTTTGCCCAGCTCCTTCAGATAGGAGCCATCCCCGAGGTGATCCTCCAAGCCAACGTTTTTGAAACCATGTGCTGCTTCGCAGGAGAGAACAATGATCCCAAGAAGCCGGTGCGGTCCCAGCTGCCCTTCAACGCAGTCTTGGCCCAGAAATTGCGCCAAACTTAGCACATATGCATGCAGAAGCCCGGCTGAATCACATCTCAAGACAAGCAACTTTGTCCGGCCACCAACCAACAACAACCAACCATGACCAACAACCATCCATGATCAACAACAAACAAGATTTACAACAACAACAACAACAACAACACCAACAACAGCAACAAACAACAACCACAACCACAGCCAAAACAACAACCACAACAACCACAACAACCACCACAACCACAACCACGACAACCAACTGCAGCAGAAGCAGGCACCACCACAGCAACAACAACAACAACCACAACCCGCCACCACCTCCCCCATCACCATTACCACAACCACCAACAAGAACAACAGCCAAGAACAACCGAGGACAACCAAACACGCAACGATGACAACACACGAGACATGACAAAGGAAAAAGAACAAACCACAAACAGCAAACACCAAACAACCAACAAGAAAACCCAACAAGCGACAGGCAACAAGCAACAAGAATCAAACAACAAACGACCGAAAACAACAACAACGACGACGACGACGACGACGATGACGACGACGACGAGGACGACGACGACGACGACGGCGGGGAGGACGACGACGACGACGACGACGGCGACGAGGACGACGACGACGACAACGACAACAACAACAACAACAGCAACAACAACATCAACAAAACCGACAACAACAACAACAACATCAACAAAACCGACCACAACAACGACAACAACAACAACAGCAACAACAACATCAACAAAACCGACAACAACAACAACAACATCAACAAAACCGACAACAACAACGACAACAACAACAACAACAGCAGCAACATTTAAACCGACAACAACAAAAAACGACGACAACAACAACAACAGCAACAACAGCAACAAACAACAACCACAACCACAACCACAACCACAACAATAACACCAACAGCAAAAAGAAGATCAAGAACAACAAACAACAAACAATCAACCACCACCACCACCAACAACAACAACAGAATCAGCAGCAGCAGCAACAACAACAACAACAGCAGCAAAAACAAGGAAGCAAGCAAGCAAGCAGGCAAACAAACGAGCAAACAAGCAAAACAGTAAGCTACTAACAACCAACAACGACCAAGGTTTTCCAACCAATCAACCAGCCAACCAACCAACCAACCAACCAAGAACCAAACAACCCAACAAGCAGTCAAGCAAGCGCAACAAGAAACATACATACCTGCTTACCTACATACATACCAAACAAACAAGCAAGCAAGCAAACAAACAAACAAACACGGACAAACAAACAAACCGACAAACAAACAAACCTACCAACGAACAAACAAACCTACCAACGAACAAACAAACAAGCAAGCCAGCCAGCAAACAAACACCAAACAACAACGAAAAACAGCGATCAACCAACAACAACCACAACAGAAAATATTTTCAAGAAAGGAGTAGCAAAGGCAATGACCGCAATTGACAACTAGAAAGCAGCCACATCAATGCCGGCAAGCAGCAACAATGATAATTCCATTGCCTTTCGCACAGGAAAAATCACAAAAGCCACTTTTAATCCGATTCTTGTTTCTCAGGCACGAATGTGTGGCAGAGTCAAAGCTTGTCAGGGCCTTGAGCAATCTGCATTCATGTTCGGCCAGTGATGGAGCATGCGTTTGCAAAGAATGCTGAGGCGGTGTTCCCCTGGATAGTCTTCCTGTGCCTGCAGATGAAAACTTTCATGCAGGAGGGAACATTGGCGGTATGCCAGCGCAGCCTTTGGAAATCATTTTCCATTTGATCCCTGCATCTATGCTTGAAGCTTCAGTCTCGCACCCAAGCCTTCTTCTCCTTCATGTTTTCTGCTACTCCTCCTCCTCTTCGCACTTTGTCTTCATGAAGTTTTCTCTGCAGCTGATGCCCATTACAACAACTTTGCGCTGTCAAACTTGTCTCTGTTTTGGCTTTCCTGAGTCAAGGTCTTTCTCGATCACAACGGGCTTTGGGCAAAACTTGGACATATGGAGCAACTTACTTTGCATCGCAACTTCTCCAAAAATTGGCGGGTGTCGGCAAAACCGTGTTTCTTTACAGCTGCCCAGTGTCGTTTTGCGGTTTGGGCGATGCGGGAGCTTTTGTCCCGGCACGGGTTTCGCACGCCAGGCACAGGTAGCGTTTTGATGTTCTTGGGCACCTCATGATTTCAATCTTTTGTTTGTCTATGATTGCATGGCGCGTCTTTGCCATTGGTTCTGCCTGCGTAAATGCTGCGTTCTGGGAATGCTGTCCATCAAAATAACTTAGTTGTCAGAAATCATACAATCGCGTTTGGCGAAAAAAATGTCTTTCTTCAACTTACTTCCACCAAGGTTATCTCTTTCCATAGCATCTTTTCTTTGCGGTGAACGTGCTCAAACCAACTTACCATTGCCCAACTTGTCTCCGTCAAGTTTTTGGGCCTAAATGTTCCTTAGTCGCTGCGTGAGCTTCTTTCTACGCTTGTCCCTGCCAACTTGTTCTTACGAAACTTTTCTCATCTGTCTCCAAATCAACACTTTACCTCTCTTCACCCTGGTCTCATGTGGCGGCGCTTCTCAGTTCCTTTCTTTCCTTTCCCCCTTGTTCTTGCCATGTGGTCCGGGAAGTTTGCGGCCCATATGCAGGACACATTTGCTTCTCTGCCGACCTTGGGAGTGGAACACTTGCTGGCAGCGCTCAGCTTCCAGGCGCAAGGCAAACATGGCTTGCTTTCACGGTAACACCCGCGCCAGCGCCAGGAACTTCGCGCCGGCATTGGGGCCAGGACTGCGCAGACAATGGTTAATAATTATTTGCATCACGCTGTGTTCCTGAAGAGCCGCATCAATTACTTGAGGTTTCTTCCATTAATTTTCTTTGCGCTTTTCTTGCGCGTCTCAAATAAGTCTTGTCTTGCGGCTCCAGGCACCAGCCATTGCTGTCGCAAGACTTCTTGGCAGAGTGCAAAGCACATGCGAAGCAGCGCAGGAATGCAGAGGCGCGTACTGTTTGCCCACTGGTCACTGGTGTAGAACATGCTACGTGCTGCGCCTGTCTTTTGCAGGTGCACAGGGCAGCAAATCGCCAGGCTTAGTGATGAGCGCCACTTGTGCTGAAAATCGCTTTAGATGAAAGAAATTGTATATTCATTTGTTGTTATGGAGGCTATGAACGGATTGCTTAACCACTAAGCTTTAATGTCTTTTTTCATATTTGTTCATGGGCCGTCATTGGAAAACTTCATGTTTCTCCACTTCCCTGCTCAGACTCTGTATAGTTTGACAACACATCCGGAACTCCCACACAATTCCGCAATTTCCCGTTCCCACACAAACACACGTACACACACACACCCACACACCTATTCACACTGGGTCACGCATTCACTTGCCAGCATCCTCGCCAGCACGATCGTCCCCAGCTTGTTTGCTAACATCTCCACACAGCCATTTTCCCCCTAGCTGGCCAGGTCCGCCAGACCCGATGATTATGGCGACCTCGCCAGCGCCCTGTTATTCGCTAGACATTTTGCGGTTCTAGTTCCGAACGCATTGCTCGCTGGGCGAGCAATATCGCAAGTTCGCCAACTCTTTGGATCCGAACATTAAGCAAGCTCGCCAGCTCCTTGCGGCTCGCTGGAACCGCACTATTGCAAAATGAGTAGAATGTGCCAGGCAGACGGCCAGATAGAATATATGATTTGACGTTAAATAGGATGTCCATGAAAAGGCCAGAGGTGTTACCAGTAGCGCGCAAGGCGCTGGCGGAGGTTTCAAAGATAGGAGAGGTGAGTTGTTGTGCTGCATGGATTGCAGAGCGAACCCACGGAGGGACGGTAAGGTGGCTGAGTCTCTATCTCTGTCTCTGTTTGTCTCATTCTCTCCATCTATCTCTCTCTGTCTCTCTCTCTTTCTCTCCCTCTCCCTCTCCCTATTTCTCTCTCTCTCTCTTTATCTTTCTATCTCTCTCTCTCTCTGACTCTATTTACCTATGGCAATTTCTCTGTGGCAATTTCTCCAAATCTCTGTATCTCTTTTTTTTTGTGTCTTTATTTCACCCTATTTTTCTATCTACCTATCTTTTTATCTCTTTTATCTTACTCTCCATCCCCATGTCTGTAGGAAGCAATTATGCGAAACTTCACTTCCTTTATGAATGGAAGTTGACAAGTCCAAAACAAAGAAATTTTGTGAGACCTGCCCAAGAAATTGAAGTTCACAGCTCCAAAAGGAAGAAATTCTGCAAGGCCCCCTCAAATAGTCAAGGTGGACAACATCAAAAACGCGGCATTTCTGCGAGGCTGCCTTCAAAAATGAAAAGTTTAGTGCAAAGCTGACGGCTTCAGTGCAATTTTTCCATCCCATTTGTTAAAAACGTTGCGCCTACCGCGAAAAAGTGAAGCCAGGTCATACTAAGTGCTGCACCCTTCTCAGGGAATCAGCACCCTGACCTCCAAACATGTCCGATGGTGTATCTTGTATGGCGCTTGTTATGCAAAATGTGTCTTTGTGAATCCTTCCAACCCTACCCGTTTTATAAAGGTGTAGAATCCCTTACACATGCCACGAAAAATAGCATTTGAGCATCCAAAAGTGATCCAAATATGGTACTTTTGAAATATGTTTCGCGCAATAACGCCGTGCACTTTTTCGACATCGGAGCATCCAAAAGCGGTCCGAAGGTGCTTTCAACCTTTTGATTTTGACACGTGTTTTGCGTAACAACGCCGTGCACTTTTTCAACAGCCTAACTTCCAAAAGCGCCTTTAACCTGCTGCTTTTAACATTATGATGTCGAAACGCGCTTTGAACCACAGCCGCGCGCACCTTTTGCAACAGGTCAATTCCCAAAAGGGTTCCAAAGCTGATTTTGCGCTTTGCGGCCACCTGTTCCACTCTTTAATTTCTTATCACGAAAGGTAGCTCCAGAGGGGCTACCTTGAGTTTTACTTTACGAAGTAAAGGGGAGGGCGGCCAGCCCCGTTACCTGATTCTTCAGGAGATTGCTAGTCATTTTAGTACCCCCCCCCTCCTCCACACCTCCCACGCACCCTAAGAGCAGACTCAAAATACTGTAATTTACAGTATTTTTGTTCTTTTCGGATCAAGAAACCACATTTTGCTACATGGTGAAACCTCCGTAAATACCAGTGTTTTTGCTAGGTGCTGGCCAAAAAACACTGTGAATACCGTGCTTTTTACTACCAGAGGCAAAAAAACATCGTAAATACCGTGGTTTTGGGCTTCCGACCCGCCAAAAACATTGGTATTTACGGTGTTTTTTGCTCCGAGAGATGCAAAAACATGCGAAAACACCACCGATTTGACGATTTTCGGCCACTACGGTACCGAGCAAAAACGCTGCAGGGGTAACACCAACACCAAAAAGAACAACAGCAACAGCAACAGCAACAACAACAACGACAACAACAACAACAACAACACCAACACCAACACCAACACCAACGCACAACGCACAACGCACAACGCACAACGCACAAAGCAAAAAGCACAACGCACAACGCACAACGCACAACGCACAACGCACATCACACACCACACAAAACACACAAAACACACAACACACACACAACACACACAACACACACACACAACACACACACACAACACACACACACAA